ATCTATTACACGCACTAATGTAGACTGAAGTATTGTCTTTACTCAAACATATAAAAGCCAGAATGAATGTACAAATGTACATCTTCACAAAGAAAGATTTATCATTGTAAGTCTGATATCAATCTATCTGGGCAATCCTGCACTTTCGGCAGAGAATAATTTTACATTTCTGCTTTAAATTTCAGTTTATTTCTGTAAAATCCAAAAGCAAAATGAACGAAAAAGTCTTATTTCCTTTTACTCAACAATGCACCAAGATAGCATGTTTCTCACAGGCTGAAATCTAATTTGGAGAGTCGCAGAGCTGAACTTTTAAGTTCAGAATTTTCGAGATATACAAGATTGCTAAACCCTAGCCTCTGGTAACAAATGAGGGTTCAAGTTGTTAAAATAACATAATGTTAACCTTTGAGCGTATGTTTAGGGAAAGGTGACAGAATTAGTGACCACTTTGCCATCCACTGACTCAACAGATCATTGAAGACATCTTTGTTTAGTCCACATTTGTCACATAACACAGTTGCGAAGCTGTGAGACGTGTCGTCTGTAAATGTTGTTCAGGTTGACTGAGAGAGTAGGCCCACATTTTGGAGGACTGATGACTGAGGGATTTAATATTCACGGCTTTGTAATTTTGATACGGTTGAGCTCAGACCATGGAAATTAGGAAGTGGAAGGCAGGTGTTTTTTAGGTCATGCTTTAACTAAATAATAGCTCTAATTTCAATTACTGTACTGCCAACAAATTTAAGATGTCGGCTAAATTATGTAAGCCAGCCTTTACAGAACTAAACTTCATAAAGATAATATCTTCACCATCAACATGTCAAGGTGCAAAGTTGAACATGATAATAGGAATTATAAAAGGTGAAAATTTATATTTTGAAAAAGTATACATTTGAACATTATTGGACAGAAGAGTTTTGGTTCTGTATATATATCGGAAGATTAGTATGTATTCATTATGCATTGGGAGTTTGTTTACATATGTAACCTTAGCAACCAAACAATGGCTTATTATCACAGTACCAGTTCATTAGTATGTATCAAGACTTTCATACCAAAGATGTATAATTTCTAATTATAGATAATGTTTGATTGGACGTCTGACTTTTGTTAAAATACCTATCCTTCATTTTTTGTGATTTTTAAAAAAATTGTGCATGTTGAGTATTTTGATTTTGGAAAATGTTCAGAAAATGGCTGCAGGTAACTATTCTATGAAACAATAAATTATATATAAAGTATATAAATATATAATTATTAGTTACATTGTAGCCTTACATTGAGAGTCTTAATAACTTGTCACAAATATAACAAACAGTTGTAATTAACAGCTACTTATACTGTCAGCATGTTGTGAAAGTGACCTTTAATAAGGTCAAGGCTGAACTGACACCTGGCGTCATGCCAACTCTGTATATATAACCCTGCCAACATTCTATCAAACTGCCAGCACCAATATCTGAGTTTAGATTTCTGGTCATAGATTCGGACTTAATTCATAAATGTCCAGGAGCGTTTGTAAACCAGGTTGTACAAGAAACGAGCAGGTTTCTGAATACTTCAGTGTAGTTTTGAAAGGCAGTGTTGTAACCTTTGTCGTCTCACATACCACATGCGGCATGTATTCACAGACATGGTCTCCGAACCTTTTCACTCATTGTTATTAATATTAATATTATGAAGAGTACATTTCTTTGGCGCCAAATTCCTCAACAGCCGAAATGTTCATTGAACATTAGTGAGCGTTGTCATGATGATACCCAGGTCATGAAATCAGTAATGTACATATGCAAATACATAATTCATATCCTTTGATAATCTGGTAGAGCCCGGTTCAGTGGTTGAAGAGCTAACAGCAACACCATAAGAGAGATGTGTGGAGATTTGCTTCATAAATAACTTATATATATATGTATGCCAAGAGCTCATAAAAGATAGAATTAGATTTCTTTTGGTTTTGCATGGATGAAGACAGTTGAAGTAACACTGGCCATGTTGTTCAGGATGACAAACTTTAATTAAATTTTGATCCAATTTTTTCGCAAATTTAAAGGGGTTTTGAATTGGTAAATATGAAATGTGATCATCCAATTTGATGTATAACAAATGTTTTATTTGTCCAAAAGACAACCCACTTTGGCGAACCCTACTCAAGTCTAGAATTACTTAGCAAGTCCAGATTGCCGATTTTGGGCACTGAGGCATAATGTTCTGGGTTCCATTCTGATTTAATTTTATGTTATACATATACAGTACAAATTTATATATATCATGACATTATTTCTGGGACAGAATGTTAGTTCAACACACTTTTACATTGCAATTTAAGTTTTAATTTATGTTTACTTTGAGTACTTGTTGTATGTCTTTGTGAGTAAGGCTTTACGTTGCATTTAGGGACCATTCATAATTTATGGCAAGGGTGATGATGATTTTTATGCAGAAGCATGTACAATGTGAATGATCCCCCCTAAAATTTATGTACAAAGTAACTGACCCCACCTTGCATATCATGTACACAATCAATGACCCCCTCCCCCTTCCCATTATTTTTAAGCATATTTTTTTAATATTTTCATGTACAAAATTGCTGAACCCCCCTACATCCCCAGAACAAAATGAGTGACCCCTCCTTAAAATCATCATCAACCTCCCCTAGCCACAAATTATGAACGGTCCCTTAGCAATATCAAGGTGAAGGAGAAGAAATGGGTTTCACTCGTTGTACCCGTGTGGGGAATCAAACCTGGGTCTTCAGTGTGGTTGGCAAATGCTTAAACACAAGGCTTCCCATGAAGATCCAGGTTAGAATTGGTCTTCAGCAACTCATGCTTGTCGTAAAAGGTGACTAACGGGATCGGGTGGTCAAGCTCGCTGACTTTGTTGACACGTGTCATCGTGCCTCAACAACCAACAAACAAAACAATAAACCCGATATAAAGCTGCTTTCGCACAAGCGAATTACCACAATACAACACAGTGCATACGCCATTCAGGTCCATGGGCTCAACACATGTTTACTCCGTTTATTTACAGACCACCACCATATAGTTGGAATATTGCTGAGTGCCGCGTTAAACAACAAACCAACCCTTTTAAGCCTTTGTGTTTTATTTTGAAATTTGTTTCAATAGAACCCATAATGCTTTGCTCAAAGATGTCTATATGACCTAGTTCCCTTACACGTGGTAGGGTTTGGGTGGGAAAATATACATAAATACCTTATTGAAAAGATTTCTGAGGAAAGACTTTATGCTTAAGGATGAGATGTATATTTTGATATTGACAGTGCAGAACCCAATCTTGGTGGGAATGTCATCAGTAGCTGACCCAGTGGCCTCACAAAGACGTACGCTTGATCAGAAAACAGGCATATTTACACTAGTTGTGAATGACGACTTGAGCCTTTTGTGTGATTTCTGTACTATAACAATTACATTGTGGGTAGCATCTTGTGGAAAGTTTCCGTTGAGGTAATGATTTTGACAAGGTCAGGGGAAGGTACTGATGGGTGTCATGTTCAGTTACCCAAAATAACCGTTGATTAGCTGAGCTCGTAGATAAGATGAGGTCCTAATTGGACTCTTAAAATCAGTATCAAGATTAGAATGTCTGGTACATGTGTCGAAACACCAACCTTCGCACATCTTTTTTTGAGTGGCATTTGAGAAGTTGGGACAATATTGAACGAACTTTATGGATAACATACTTCTTTCATTTGGAAATAAGAGAAGTTGTTATCCAAAAATTGTGTTCAATATTGTTCACACATCCTCTCGTCATGATCAGTCTTCAGAAATATTGTATCAACAAATCTGTATTTAATTTCGCAAGTTGATCCTGTTGTTACACCATCTCGTAATAAAACATGTTCTTTGCATATCTGGACTTATGTTTGTAATCAAGTTAATTTTACTGAAAATGTCATTCAATAACTTTTATATTAATTGTGGTGAAATGTGTTCCCTATTGATATTTACAACTTCTGTTTACAGTATTAACAGACATCGCAGTCATATTGCCTCCACTCATGTTTAGTTGACAGAAAATGGATATGTACAACTACTGTGTTTCATTACAAGTCATGTGTTGTAGCTGGACAATCAAACATATCAACAAACTGTTTTCACGATGGTAATGTCAAAATTGCGCGAAACCATATCACTGTCAAATTGTTCGATGTGCAAAAAGTACTCGTCACTACACCAAACTGCTGCCACATACACCTAGTGATGGTTTTACGTATTTTTATTTATAGAGCAAATCCTTCAATTAAAATGACACAATGCTTAGTTCTCTTGGTAAAATAACAGTTTCACATTCTATTTCTTCCAAACAGCGCATCAGAATTCATTTCTGTTCATAAATCAATGTATGGCTGGCTTAGAGTCAGTATCAGGGCTGGCTAAAATTATCGATAATCGGAAATATAATCAATAGGAAAGATTATTAATGATTATCGATATACAAATTGTGTTATCGATAATATCGTTCATTAACTTTTGTGACAGAAAATAAGTTTTAATTTGCTCACACAATATAAAAATTTAAGACTTTAGTTATGGTCGGCTTCAAAATTTTTGCTGGACACTGTTTTGTTTAAAATCCGAGCAGAAACATATTACCACTCACCAGTGATATGAAATATATTAATATATTTACGGCATTTTGGGCATTTTGGCTCAAAGTTACGTCTTCAAGATTTATTGAAAACCGATCAATATTTAGTGACTGATTATTGATCTCTATGATCTCTATAGATCGTCTGCTCCAGTCAGTCATGATATTGTCTGGTCTGGTATCCTAAACTGTTACATGGTATCACAGCACGTGCAATATAACACTGGCATTTGCCTTGAACTTGGACATGGTGGATGTTAAGCCACACTGGTACAGAACAGGAAAAAATATCAATCCATGTCCGTTCTTCCAGTGTGAACTGTATTTATTGTGACCAAACTGCATGTTTATCAAAATTAAATGTTTGTTTTCAGAAACTGTTTGTTTCGTGGCCTTGGGGATCAGTTAGAAGGTCACTGTCGCAACCACTTCCGTCATCGCCAGGATGTCGTCCGCTACATGGCTGAACACCGCGACGACTTCGAGCCTTTCATGGAGGATGACATTCCATTTGATACTCACAGTAAGTTTGGTGTCGGACCGAATGATTGATAGCACAAGTTGCTGGGCAGAGTTGTGTACCTTCAACATGTCAGGATCAGCTGATTGTGGAAATTTTTCCAGATTTTATCAGTTTAAGATCCTCAGCCTGTCAGCAGCATACATATTGCTTTAACTCATTAAAATCACATCTTGATGCTGTCAGACGATGTTAACAGTCATCCAAATTTTAGATGCTAAATGTGCATTGTATGGATCCATTTTTTATATCTGGAAATGGTGATAAAAGGTCATTAATTGTGCAACAAAGGGCTACACTTTTTCAGTATTGCCTGATTCTGTCGGTTTATTTTTTTACTTTCATCATCTCAAGTCTAATATACTGGATAATATGGATTTTAGGGTAGACTCACTGCTGATCTAAATATCAAAACAAGTTATCTGTTAGTGTTACTTGATTCAAAGCTACATGCTACATTGACCTCATCGATTGATTTCAGTTTTTATATTTTGTAAAGGCCGACACTGCCATTTTTGTGTCTGTACATGATTTGGGGTTGATAGAGTTACCTCCCTTTAACCAGTTATCCACATTCATTCAGCATTAATTTGTTTCATGCTTTGACCTTATATCTCATGTCTTTTCAGTACAAAACCTCAAGAAACTTGGTGTATATGCTGGTAATGATGCAATTGTCGCCTTTGCCAGACTGCATCAAGTGAACATCGTGATACATCAGCTTGACGCCAAGCACCTCATGGTGAGTATTTGAAGTCAGGTAACATCGTTCATATTAAGATTCAAGAAATAGTTTTATACTACAGTGTACGATGTTGTCGTTAAAACTTTTCTTTTGGTATAATTAGTCTACATTGAAATTTAAACTGAACACAGAACCAATGGGCTTATTACTATGTCAATTTGGATTACCAAATTCAAATTAACTGCCACACAGATAGCATTCGGACGTTGGCCCAACGTTGGCAATGTTGGCAAAACCAATGCCAACGTTGGGCCAACGTCTGAATGCTATCTGGGCATTGGGTTAGATCCTACAGGGGTAAAAGTCTAGTTGTAAGGGGGATAAATCATGAGAGCTCGGGCAGATCTAAAATATCTTGGTAAGGGATGTAGTCAGCGTTCCGATTACCATTCCATTACAGATGTCCTCAGAAGTTGCTGTATAAGCATCTGTATTTGGTGCTATGAATGCAGTTAGTGACAATATATTGTTGTCTTGCAGATTACTGGATCCGCCCACAGCAATGCCAGGCAGCTTCACATCTCTTACCACAACGGCGACCACTACTCAAGTGTCAGGAAACTTAACGACAACACTGAGTCGCCAGCCAACATCAGAATACAGGTACTCCTCAAATCCTTCCTGATTCTGCATCTTTAGGTGCTGCTCCCGGAACCAGGACAGTAGCTGCTTCTCTTTATGAGAGCAGCGACACAGGACAATGTGATATTTTAGATGCATATCTCGACACACTGGTCGGGAAACGCCACTTATCTTGACACACTTGGCATGTTGTGACATATATTGGGACACACTTGTCATGATACAAATCTTGACACAATGCAAATTCCCGTTGAACTGCATTTATTTTTATTGCAATATATATAATGAAAGAAATATGCCATTGAATTATTCAAAGTTTGGACATAATTATGCTTATAATGTTAGATTTATTGTTGAGTTATATCCACGCCAGACAGCCGGACTGGTAACTTAAAAAAATAAAATTCCGGATACAAACTTGCGTGTCTGGTTTTCAACAATGAAAACAAAGATCAGGTTTGTGTATACGTTACTGTTTGTAGGCATCGCAATGAACAACATAGCACTAACAGGCAATGCACCGAATTTAGGTAAAGTGAAAGTACATGTGTTGTGATTTTTATTGTAAAATTAACTGTCCAATCGTAAATAGTTAAATATAATTATCATAATACCTTAAACACCTCAAACTGACAAGAGAACCTGTCTGATATAATGAAATATTCACTGTTAGGGGTAAAAATATCTACCAGACCACCGGAGAGGCTACTTTTGAAATTTGACCGTCTGAGATGAAAATAGACCGTTCCGGACGGTCGGGCAGGCTGGGATTTAAACGCTGGTTATATCCCCAAAATTGACTTGCACCTGGTGCAAGTTAGACTTACAGCTAGGTTGCACATTGTAATACTGGGTTGCACCAGTGCAAGTAACAAAGCTTTAAATCAAGCCCTGCTTAGCAATATACATATCAACTCACTGGTCTTGATACATATATCAACACCATTCTTCTGCCTCTCAACACAATGCTTGCAATACACAGAATTTTCCTTTCCTGACTCATGATCTTTTGCTTATCTCCCTTTTCCTTTCGAATGGTAGTGGAACACTTGAATCCCTTGAAGTTCCCGAAGCGGACGTATAAATACACTCACCCACGAGTTACCTCCCTTGCCCTTTCCCGCGCAAACATATCATGTGACGTGCCCATTCTTGTCACTCTCTCCCTTTCCCTTAAAAAATTACATATTCATAAGCCAGGGCTTCCAGGATGTTTTCACATCACCATACTCTTCATCAATGTGTTTTTCTGGTCCAAAATTGGTTGTCAACAGCCTGCAGTGCATGGCTTGCTGAAGACCAGTTCTAGCCTAGATCTTCACAGGACGCCATGATATAACTACAATCAAACAGAACTGATTGACTTATGTTTGACCATATTGTCAAATGACAAATCAACAACAAATGATGGGCATCTATTGTTCTGTGTCCAGGATGAGTCTGACAGCAAGGTCACCCCTCCCGGCTGGATGAACGGCTACACAGAGACTCACAAAGAAGGCAGCGACGGATACGTGCGAGCCATTCGCGGATGTCAGGCCATAGAAGACGAGGTGGTAGCAGCCACAAAGTGTCAGGTACGTACATGAGATTCTACACACATGACTTGTGTTGTCAGAACCTGACGTCTGCTCCTCGGGTCTTTGGAACTACTGGCAAACAAGGATAAGTTGGACCAGCGCAGAGAATGCATTTACGAGATGTAGGTGGTGCACGGCAATGAGCAAACCCATTTGGTTTGTGAAAGGTAGAGCAGATGTAGGCTAGTGCACGTGCATGCATAACGATGAAATTGATTCTGCGTGTAGCTGCACATGCCTTGCTCATAAGACTCTCACGTCGGTGTAGCAAGTCGCACTACACTTGATTGCGGACAACCTGGGGCCCCTTCGCTAACAATGGCAAGCGCCAGTGGGTGGCACACCCGTATGCTAATACGGGTTAATTGTCAGGTCAGTGTTCAACTTATTGTTTGCCAGTAGTTTCAGTTCTCTCATACTTTGGAGCGACCAAACTATCCTTGAGTATTGTTAAATACCCGGGGCCGTGGGGAAGCCTAGTAGTTAAAGCGTTGGCTCGTCACGCCGAATCCCCACATGGGTACAATGTGTGAAGCCCATTTCTGGTGTCCCCCGCCGTGATGTTGCTGGAATATTGCTAAAAGCGGCGTAAAACCAAACTCAGTCAGTCAGTCAGTGTTAAATACCCAAGACTATTTCATGAAATACCATTGTTTTGATTCAAATAAAAAATAAAATCAATTTTGACAAAAATCTAAAATTAATGTCCAGTCACATTTTACCGTTCTTCCATGATTGAAACAGTATTGCAATCCTCTGATGTAATGTTGATAGGCTGAGAAGGACATGTATATGTTAATCTGTACAAACTCATGTTAAGTAGTTCATTTTGACTGTTGATTGCATATTCATGAGCAAGTATATTGTTACTGCTATTATCACTTCTGCTACTGCTAACCCGTGAAAGTCTGGGTTAGAATGAATCTTCAGTAACCCATGCTTGTGGTAAGAGGCGACTAACGGGATCGGGTGGTCAGGCCTGCTGGCTTGGTTGACACATGTCATCGGTTCCCAATTGAGCAGATCGATGCTCATACTGTTGATCACTGGATTGTGTGGTCAAGACTCGATTATTTACAGACTGCCGCCATATTGCTGGAATATTGCTGAGTGTGGCGTAAAACTCAACTCATAGCCTAATGGATAAATTGTCCGCTCGTCACGCTGAAGACCCAGGTTCGATTTCTCAAATGGGTACAATGTGTTACTACTCCATTTCTGGTGTCCTCCACCGTGATATTGCTGGAATATTGGGAAAAGTAGCGTAAAACTAAACTCACTCACTCACTTATAACAAATGACCACTCACATGCATCGTCTGTTCTTAACTTGCTTATATTGATTCAGGATCTGACAATGATTCGTGAGACACTGGTTGACTGCAGCTACGATGCGGATGCAGCCATAGCTCAACTTATGCAGGTGATGGAGCTTACAGATAAAGACCGTAAGTACATGTTAACCCATTACATTGACATCAGGGTATTATTCTTGCAGCGATTCCATTCCTGAAAATCTCTGACCATACTAGACATGCATTTTAAATGAGTAAAACAAACACAACTATTGGCCGTTTTGAGAAATCGACTCCCGGAATTATACACCCTCATAACTTATCATAACTGATTCATGCTTCACTGCGGCATGGTATCTCAGTGGGCTAGCACCTTTAAAAACAGCTTAAGTCTGGGCTAGTACAAGCAGCCGCACATACACATTCACATGCATGCACGTCGTCATATGAGCGAAATATTCTCAAGCATGACGTTAAACCCAATTTCACCTCACCTCGCATATTTAGCAAGTCGTGAGTGCATCAGTAGGGACATATTAAAAGTAGTTTCTGATTCATTGTATGATGAATACTTTTACACAGATTCAACCTCATCGGCCGAAGACACCGATTCCATGTCATCTCAGCGAACATCGACAGACAGTGGGATCTGGTCAGACAGTGGCACCGGACTGAGAGTGTTCGGTGCCACCAGCATCCCAAGTTCCTCATCCAGCAGGAAAGGTCAGCATGTCCATTTCCGGGACGATAGTCTCGGCGGCAGCTCAGGATACGGATCCTTGAACAGTGATCGTGGTGGTGCACGGCCAAAGCTGGTTTCCATGCCAACACAGGTAAGATTCAGAAACAAGTGAATGGGATATAAGCTGCTTTGAACAACATTACAGTTCTTGTACAACAGACCCGTGAAGATCCGGTTTAGAGTTGATCTTAAGTAACCCATGCTTGTTGTAAGAGGCGACTAACAGGATCGGGTGGTCAGGCTCGCTGGCTTGGTTGACACATGTCATCGGTTCCCACTTGCGTAGATCGATGCTCATGCTGTTGATCACTGGATTGTGTGGTCCAGACTCGATATTTACAGACCGCCGCCATATAGCTGGAATATTGCTGAGTGTCGTGTAAAACCCAACTCACTCACTCACTCATACAAGGCTCACTCTTGTACGAGGTGGCAGTTGAGGGAGTGGAGAAGGAGCAAGTGGGGCTGCTTGGGGGATTTTTCTTTTTTTTAATAGAGCAAAATATAATTTGTGAAATTATATTATATAACAATTTTCCACTTGACATACTATCCTTCCTGGCTACTTCAGCCCTTCCAAGAAAAACACAAGGTATAATTTTTCCTTATCCTGACTCATACGTTATCTCATAGGTCAACATCGGTCTGAAAACAATCAGAAAATTGTAATAAATTAGCCGCTGATCAATAACCCATGGATATGATGACCAAGGATATAGGATACATATGCACACAGTAATTTGATTATATATGCCGAAATATAAAGAGTTGTAACGGTAGTTGAAAAACGGACAAGAGGCATCTACCCAACCATCAGGTAGGGCTAAAATGGAGAGAGTGACAGGCAGCCTATGGTCACGTGGGACCCTGGCGCAGGAAAGGGAGAGGCCCATTTGGGCTGAGCTATTTTTATACTGTTCATTAGGGAACAATAGGACAGAGGTTTCCACTCTACCTCGGAAGAAAAGGGAGATAAGCAGTAACGTATGAGTCAGTATAAGTATAAAATATCAATTTTATAAAAATTATTCCATTATCAATAAGATCCTTTCCGTTACTCATACGTTGTGTCTATATATCTCTAATGTGAACTGATCATTGGTATTACTGTTGGCAACAACAGCCTAATCGAGTGTCGTCACGGAAACTGAAAGAAGCAAAGAAAATGGAAAAGAAGATGAGAGCGGAAGAGCGACATCGCCAGCGTGTCATGGGATCGAGGACGTTGCAGCCGCAGATGATCCCAGCTGACCCCAGCGCTTTCACAGTTGTGTCCCATGCAGCCTCCATTACCAGGATATAGGTCAAGGTCAAGGTCATGTTGATAGTGTGACCTGAGCACGCACAACGCTATGGAAACTTCTGAATGCAACTCTTACTTAAATGGAAAAATGATATATTTTGTGTTGTGTAAATTTGTAAATAGAAACTAAACCATATATATATATCAGATAAATTAACAACAATGTCTTGAGGTCACAGTGGTACATATATCATGATATTGCACAATAAGAAATTTATTGAATACTTTGTCAGCAAATTTTTGGGTTGTTGGTTGAATAAAATGAAAAAAAAGAACAAGATTTTAAAAGCACTATGTACATGGTCGTTGATTTGAAGGAACAAGAACATGAAGGAAAGGTGGGTTTATTAAATAATTATTGTTCAATAAGCCACTTTTCTTATCTGCCTTGAAGATTTCCATTATCAATATTAGTTTTGCCATATTTTCTTTAAAGAATTTCAGTAACCCACTTTTGCAATTTTATACTGGCATGTCTGTAAATTGAGTTCTTTTACACATGTAATGAGTGAATCCTTGGATTTTGAATGAGAACAATGGAAAATCTGTTTTTTCAATCACTGTTATTCTTTATTAAAAGAAATCAAATCTTCACTAGCTCCCTGATAGAATGTTTTCAAAAACCACCTCTGCCTGCCTTTTAATTTGAAAAAACTTATCACCACCAAACAAATATTTAACTGGAATTATTTTGGAATTCTGTGATAAATCTGCAAATTCCATTTTATGGCTTTCACACCAACCAGAAAATGGCACTTATGCCATACTTCATGTGCCATGTTCAGATTAATATTCATATTTTCTGAAATGTGGAATCAGGATACATCCTGAATATTATATATTTGTTACTGTTATATATTATATATGTGATGCTGCTCTGAAAAGGGTAATTCTAACTATGTTAAATGCCCAAAAAAGTTATGGATCATTGGGTTCATGAAATTGTGTATTCAGTCTTTACAAGAAAAAAGTATCCACAAAAATAATCATGATCCCTAACTTATTCTGTTTGGTATATATATGTTTTCAGTCTTTACAAGAAAAAAGTATCCACAAAAATAATCATGATCCCTAACTTATTGTTAGGTATATATCAATATTATCGGTATATCATAATATACCATGAGAGATGACTAAACAAAATTATGGATCATAGTTGTTTTTTAAAATGTTCATGAAATTGTGTTTTCAGTCTTTTACCACAAAAAAAAACCTATCCAAAAAAATAATCATGATCCATAACTTGTTCTGTTTAGTATATATTACTTAATATTATATCATAATATACCACGAGCCTGATGACAGAATGTATTTATTGTAAATAATGTTTCATGTGTGATATTGATGTTGTGTTACCATTACATGAACTAGACATCATAATACGTTGACTGACTGTCTCTTCTAAAGGATGGCAATTGCATAAATGACACTCATTCATCCAGAAATGGACATTTTTTTATTTATTTCACTGCATTTGGATGGCAAATACTGAGCTTGAACATCTGAACATGACAGAGCTTATTTCATAATAAGCAAGAACCGGTAAGTTGTATTGGAAGGCCAGTTTAGTTACTAGAAACCTGTAAATGTGTAACAATGCAACTGTCATATGTATTTCCGATACCTTCCTCGATCTTAACATGAACCACTTTCAATAAGTAATAGATGGTTCAGATTTTCCAATATGGCAGACAAGGGGAGACAACTCACACCATACTATTTTGTCATCTGCAGAAAATACACCACTGACATTCTTGTGAAAGTCATTTGGAAATATCTTGATGCTGAGTGTTGTAGAACTGTCTGAAAATGGTAAATATTCTGTTAATTTATGTTAAGATCATATTCAGTTTTTCTCATCACTCATGTTTGGACTATTTGACATCGTTAGAACATATTTATCATACTTTCACTCATACTCTCCCTGGTTTTTGAGCCATTATGTAATGTTTTTGTAATTAGGCCAGATCATATTTTATTGTTTTTGGGGTTTTTTTTTTTTTTTTTGTTACAGTGTTTTATTTTTCATTTCATTAGTCAAGACATCCTCAACATCTCCACAGCTTGCACTTCAGTAAACCACACAAAGGTGGGTAATTTGTTAGAACTACAGGACTGGATTAATGTAGGTTTATTTTAATTCCAAAATATAAAGATGTCTCTGCTGATTTTAGAATTTTAGACACTTTTTGTATGAAATATTTCTTTGAAAAAACATTCAACGTATTTTCGGAGGAAAGTCGTTTGGTTCTGGGAGATTTTTGCACTTAATCAGTTGTCTAATTTGGCATTAAGCAACACTCACTCAAAGCATAATTACAGATGGCAGTCTACAGCACTTTATGTCATATTGGAAGTCTGTGTAAGAATGTGAAAAGTCTTTTTTGAACGTGTCCCTATGTTTTGCACCTATTTTCCTTCTCTTTTACCTATCTCTAAAATTTGAAGTTTCCAGTTGAGAAAAAGGGGTCCTACCTCATCCAAACTTGTGAATTTTTTTATGTTATTTCCAATTGTGTTTGACAATATTTACTGGATTCAGTCACTAATAAAATTCTTCTTGTTTGTGATAATATAACAAGCTCAAGCTCTGTTCCATGTCCACTATTGAATGTATAATATTTCTAGAATCTCATGAACTCAAATTTGCTAATTGATTTCAATTTTTTAATTTTTGTAGCGCCAGATGTTTTCATGGATGATTTTGAATCATGTTCATCATGAATCATGTCTTCATGTTAAAAATGTTTCCATGGAGACAGAACATACGGGCAGCATAAATGCTCTGTAGGGGAGCATAAGCTATTTGGGGAGGAAAAATGTTTCCGTTATATTATTACATGTATTTGGGTATGTGTTCCAAGAACTGGAAGCAAGAATAGAAAAATAAGAATTCTTTTCAGAGTTATTTAAGGTTATTTCAAACTAATAATTTATAAAATACATGTTTAGAAAAAAAACAACAACATATTTTTATGAACTCAGCACATATATCTTCTGATTCTTTTCATTTACACAATATTTTGAACTGAAAAACAAAAATATGACTGACTGAGCTTAGTTTTACGCCGCTTTTAGCAATATTCCAGCAATATCATGGCGGGGGACACCAGAAATGGGCTTCAAACATTGTACCACTAGGCTACCCCACCGCCCTAACAAAAATATGAATTAGTTCGGCCTCAACATGACAAGCATATGAACAAAATGTTATTAGCAGATCAAGAAAGTACTTAAATATTACATTATAATTTCCTGAATGCCCCCGGTAAGCTGTTGTTACATTAATAGGAAGTGAAACTTTTTGTAAAATGTTTTGAAAAGTGTTTTGCAATCTGCGTTGAGTAAGACATGGAGTATGAAACTAAAATGAATTAAAAAAGATTTGTATAATATTTAATTATCTTTTATATGCATCCTTTTAGTTTGTTTCGTGAAAGTATGCAAGGCCTATTTCAGTGTTTATTCTTTCCTGTAGCTGAAGGGATTCTCTTTCTGGCCTATTGGCAAATTATGCCAAGTCCTGTTTGAAGAATGTCTGTTTGAGAAACTTGAATGACAATTCTGTTGTGTTTTTCCTTGAGTTAAAGTGTCCACTCGGCACACTGAAGACCCGGGTGCGACTCCCCACATGGGTACAATGTGTGAAGCCCATATTTGGTGTCCCCTGTCGTGATATAGCTGGAATATTGCTAAAAGCGGCTTAAAATCATACTCACCTGTGTCAGTCTAATTGATATTTGTCTTTTACTCTGTTATCCTGATGCCAAGACGTTACAAATCTAACATTGGAGGTTACCTAAAATGAATTCCAAGTGAATTGTGAAAGACACTGAAGATGAATGGGTTTTGAGCTGTCAGCTCCGTCAAACAATCTGGTTTCGGGCAGCACGTCACAGGAAGTTTAGCTAATATTTGGCTTCTGATAAAAAAAGAAGATAAAAACATAACTAGAAGCCATATGTTTGTTGTTAATCAATAAAACTAAAAGAATGATGTGTAAAATATATGTAACAAAGAAGAGACATTATTATTCACCATTTGGAACTGCCTGTTCATATTCATTTTCAAGAAGAAAAGGACAAGAATTGGCATCAGAATGGAGTAAAAGATCAGATTTAAATTGGACTGCGGTATGTGTTCCCTCAATTGTTTCAAAGTGTGATTAAGCTTTTCCTGGTGGTAGATGAAGTTTTAAGTATCTGTTGTTGAAGGCAATGTGTGATTTAGAAGTGTAAGCATTGCATTAGTTGTTAGTTTGAACCAAAGAAAAGTTTTGAAATCCAAGGCCTGCAATTTGGGTAGTATTATTTTGCCATGTTCCATCATGTTTATAAAGCAATCTTCATATATATTTTATTGTAGAATCTTGATTTATTACTTAAAACAATTGTGAAAAATCTGTAGTTAAAATGAAATGGTGTTTAATATGCTGTATGTTTGTTTAGACAGTGAATCTCTGATAGTTAGAACTGCAATTATCTCACAAACACAATCTTCATGATATGGATACATATATTCTTTGAGAACATTCATGTATCGATGAAGTGATGCTCTTCTGAGAAGAGTACTGTCCGGATTAAAAGGGTTTCATTGTATTCATCAAAATCTGGGATGAATGAGATTGCTACATCTGTGGAAATTGCTGTAGGTTAATAAGTCAAGATAACAGCACATGTTGTGCATTGGCCTGAAGTATGAAAGGTTTGATGCTTGCGATGGCTGGCAATGGCTTGCTTACCTGCTGCCGATATTGAAGGATATGTTGATATAGAAGTAAATATTGCTGACTTTGTATGAAGAAAAACTCACTTGCTGCTGATGTAATAGTCCCTGTGATTGGCTGAAATGTCTCTGAGAGTACATGCACATAACATGTCACAAGTTCTGATTGGCTGAAATGTCTGAGACACTGTTTCACATTATTCATGTGTCTCTATGTCTGATTGGCTGAATTGTCTCTAAAGGACTGTTAACATTTCTGACCTGGAAATGGTGACCCCCTATAATTTCCACCAATATTTATTTCAGATCAGTTGCATCTTTTGTCTTTGATCATTTTCTGTTAACTCAAGGTTTCAACAAATATTTTTTGAGTACAGGTACATGACTTCATTAGACCAAATGTTTGGCCCTTTAGTACATGAACAAGCATTTACCGGTATTAATTTTTTGGCGGAATTACATTGGATATAAGAAAATTGTTATCTTAATAAAAATGTATTTTGCTTTGGAATTCAAATATATATATTTAGTCTTTGAACCTAAACTGCTACCAAATTCTTGAAACTTATTTTAGTGGAGACGGGATGCTAATATGTAGGCAGCACTAACAGTTAACTTACCTATGTCTTTGGGCATAACATGATACACAATGTTTGTAAAACATTGCACAAAGTGTTCTTTGAAATGATATTTGCTTCAGGGTTAGAATTACCCAAACTGAATATGGTTTGAGGCTGGTATGAAATACGTTGAACGAAAATATGTTCGATGAGAGATTTATTTTTTTAATGTAAATATGAAGCTTGATTTTCAACAAGTATTGATTGTGATGTTTCTTGCCTGCTTTGAAAAATTAATTTGTGTTGACATCGGCTTTCGACATGTTATCCTTTATGGCTGTTATGCAGGTATAGAATATGTTGACACTGTAAGAATATTTATGCATTATTACCAAATAAGAATAAATTACAATAAAAAGATTCAATATCTGTTTTGAGTCTTGTGTTTGATTGGAGTTGAATATTCTCTCTGCAAATTGTATGCTGTGAAACTGAAAATAGGCAACAGATCTTCTTGGATGTCTCATTTAAACAGCAATTTTCCAGATATATAACAGTGATCTGTTTAATAGTCGCAGACAGACAATTTTCTAGATATATAACAATGATCAACACAATAAACGATTTGATGACACTCCATATACACGAACCAGTTATACTTCACATCAGAAGTTCTGAATTTCAACAATTTTGGGATACAAAATATCACCAAGATCTAGTATGATGACATTAAAAAAACAAGTTAGCAAGTAGTCAATTGTACAATTAACAAACTTAAAACAACAGTGCAGTGTTGCCAATATAGTTGATGGAACATCATATGTTTGCTGACGTTTTGCTTAAGGAGCCTGTTTCTGTAACATATGTTATATTTGGAATTACACTTTCTCAGTAAAGTACAGATTCTAGTACTTTTGTTTGGTTGAGTCCCATCCAGGATTCGAACCCACACCCTCAGAGTCAGCCGCCTAACCAGCTCAGACATCAAACGGAGCCTGTTTCTGTACAGGTAGAAGCGACGTCAAGTGGACGGATCAGGTTTCCACTTTCAAGCTCGACTGTCAAGCTAAGACTGCTGTCATCTGTCTAGTAAAAATAGCTACGCCGCGTACAAGCAGTGGAACCGGTTTATGTCAAGCCCTAAACTTCATTTCTCAAGGGATTGTGATTATTATTCTCCATGTAGTTTATAAAATTCATCCTTCTTTTTGCGATTCTTTTTCTTCTGAATATATACTGGGCGCGGAAAGAAATTCACAAAAGCCCACGCGGTTGTCGGCAGTCGATTTGGTTATGGTCAAAGGGAGGCAATCGTGTTTGTAATGGAGTAAACACCACACTTTGGTCAAAGGGAGGTAATCGCGTTGTGTCATTTGATCTCAAAGGGAGATAAGTCTCTTTGACAAATGGTGAGAATGATTTATACTACTTCCCCTCGTCCATCAACAGCGCGGTTCGTCAAAGCCAGTGAGTATTTTCGCGAAAGGTTAAGTTGTATGGGTTCAGAATGACATGACATTTCAGTGTTCTGCCTATGACAATGCACCCGTATCCACTCCTCCAACAAGAAACACATCGCGCGGGGGAAGTTGTTCGTTCGGGTTATGGTCAAAGGGAGACAACTCAATCAAGCGTTTGATTGATTGAGTTGTCTCCCTTTGACCATAACCCGAACGAACAACTAAAAACGCTTGATTGAGTTGTCTCCCTTTGACCATAACCCGAACGAACAACTTCCCCCGCGCGATACCGTTTTTCTTCTCCCAATGCCACCGCCGACACTGAGTGTAGGACCCCATCGCGTGTCTGGGCTAACACAAATGTTGAGTGCGAGCATGGGTTTACGCCGCCTTCAGCAATATTCAAGCAACAATCGCGGCGAGAGGACACCAGAAATTGGCTTCACACATTGTACCCATTTGAGAAATCGAACCTGGCGTGACGAGCGGACGATTTATCCATTAGGCTACCCCACCGCTCGAGTTATAGGTAAGAACGTAAATCTACTCGAGGTAGAACTAATATAGAACTCTACCCAACCAAGTAGTGCTCACAGTGGACCCCATTCTTAGACAGGTTTAACCTTACCATCGTCCGCCAAAAATCCTGTCTGAGAAAGATCTGTCGATCTCGCACTCTATGATATTTACGATAATTTAAACACACTATAGTGGATCTAAAACAAAGTCACGGCACTGAAAACAATCCAAACAAAACAATTGGCAGTTGCCGAATTCACATTTTCACCTATCCCAAAAGGCTGCAAGTTTAATTTGAAATGGTGTTCCTTATGGGTACGACCTGTTGCTGCATTTCCAGCTTCACGTGGATCAATGGTTTATGAAGCACAGACTGTGTCACAGAAGACCTGAACCAGTTCAAAACCTGCTTTTGAATATATTCAGTAACTGAAAGCGAGGTTAAAGCTAGAATACCAGTTCACAATACAAATTAAACATCAAATGTCCAACCTTTCGTCTACTTCTTGTCCTGTCCTGCGTTGTCAAAGCCGTTGAGCTGTTTAGCGTACTTAGTATTTATAAACCGTACCTTCTTTGTCCAACCTTCTCAGTGACTTCATTCAAAAGCCACAAAGCATGAAACGCCACGTGTTTGTTATCACGTGACCTTACATGCACGTGCTTCTGCTGCAGAATGTTCATGAGCTCGGTGGCATCTCGATAGTTCAACATTTCTCGAATGCAAACAGCTCGTATATTTCCGGAACAGAAGTCGGATAAAATACACTTTTGATCAGTTTGACTCACCCTCGGGTCGGGGAACCCGGCAAGTAAAACCTTTGACTTTCCATTGGGTTTTACAAGCCAGGTCCCGGGATATCCACAGGTTTTCAGGGCGTAGCTACCATTATTAAAAAAAGCCCGGTCATGATTTTGCTAAAACAAATTCTAATTCTTTCCAAAAATATTTCAAATACTATCTAAATATAAAGCTTTGCAACCTATCGGGCTTACACGAAGCAAAAATGGCTTGCTACGCCATTTTACAACCTCGACCCAAAACTCGTAGTTGTATGTTAGTAAATGTTGCTTTAAGCCACATCAGTAAATTTTCAGCTTTTCGCGGCTACGTAGTCGTATGTTATCCTTCAGTACTGAACGATGCGACTTTTACATGATGCAAATTCAAACTGGCGGAATCCATGAGGAGTACTAGTAATGCGCACAAGAAGGCGCAGTTGTCTTTTTTAATTCAGTTTGCGCCACGTGGAGGATAGAGCTCGAGTTGTCATGTTGAAACGATCATAGGAACGCCGTAGTAATGCAGTTCAGCAGAGCTATTTATGAGTGAACCCGTGAAGATCCGGGCTAGAATGGATCTTCATCAACCCATGCTTGTTAGAGACGACTTACGGAATCGGGTGGCCTAGTAAGCTGACTTGGTTGACACATGACATGGTATCCAAATTGTGGAGATCGATGCTCGTGATGTTGATCACTAGATTGTCTGGTCTAGACTCGATTAATTACAGACCGCTGTCATTTAGCTGTTTGTTAAACAACAAACAAACAAACAAGGAAAGCTGGAAATGAAGCAGTGATCAGATGTTTACTACTTTTGGAGAAACCCACGAAACCGACATGGTGCGGACAACCCATAATCACAGGTTCCTAGTGTGCTCAAGGGACACAACTCTGCTGAGAGAATTGCAGCTCCTCAGCCGACTGAGCCAGACCTGTTCCCATGTGCATCATAACCAGACTGTTTGCTGTTTGCAAAATATGATATTTTAAATGTATCGTGTTCAGAGTTGGACATTTACAGAAAGGTTTTAACCTTTTTCAAAATGCAAAGTAAGCAGGTTCCATCTGACTGGACAAATACCTGATTTTATTTACTTCTGTTCTCTTTGTGACCTGCCAGGACAAACTCCAGTGCATGTTCTGAATAGGTGACAGATCAAAGGCACTGACTCCCATGTTATTCATTTGTTCACACAATGGTACAATTGGTCAACGTTTACCTCAACAGAGGAACACGTCCTCCATATAAAATACTTCTTCATTTGACATAGCGAGATTACTAAGGAAGCCACGAAGATAAGATGTCCCTATTTGTCTATAGAAACAATAACTGTTTGAATAATCATTAACTCTTGTTTACAAACGGACATAATATATCCCAAAATACATACATCTGACACGAGGAAATAAAATTTGGAACTACAAATTACTTCACACAGCGAGTTGTTTCCATACAACGAGCAAGCCTAAGCGTCTTCCGGGTCTCTGTCTGCTTCTCAGAGTGAGCGTCCACAAACATTTAGCCATGTTTGTGGATTGTCATACCTGCTTGCCATCCAAAAATAGAAGAGCTAACTAAACAACAAAATCGAGGTTCTTGGCATAGGAAGCAGGAGAAAATAGGAATTATAAATAGCAAAGAGTAATCCACGACTACTGGCTGCACTTAGGTCAGCAACATGCCGATGACGGGTCTGGAATTGTATTTCACTCATGAATTATTGGCAAACCGAAGCGATTTATCTGAATATGGTTACAGACGACGTTTGCTAAGCGTTTATTTGCTGGGCATAGAGACGGTGCATAGCCGATAACATAAAACAACCCAAACGATGTAAGGTGCACACTGTGGCATGTTCACCCTCTTACTTTTATTTGCTTGACCATTGGGTATAACAGATGATAAAGGGTACACTTACAAGGTGTCCTGTGTGCCTCGCTTCGTGCTTGGGATGAGAAATATGACGATGCCTAATATGGTCATAATATTTCATGTAGTCTCTGTTAGCTAGTATTAGCAGTAATTGTTAGTCTCCAGGGTCGGAAAGGCTGTCTTTGTAACTGCTATTAGCAGCTAACAGTTGCTAACAAAGACCTGCTGGTAGTAGGTAATATTTCCTGGATCGGGTGTTCACTCTTAGGTGTGATACCACTGCCCTCGTATTCTAACTAGACGCGGGGATGATGGGGTAGCCAGGTGGTTCAAGCGTTCGCACGTCACACCGAAGACACGGGTTCGATTCCCGAGATGGTTACAATGTGTGAAGCCCATTTCTGGTGTTCCCCGTCGTGACGTTGCTGGAATATTGCTAAAAGCGGCGTAAAACCCAGCTCACTCACTCACTCACTCACTCACTCACTCACTAAAAAATATTGGTTATCCTCGGCGCATCACCACCCATAACAATACAGGGATACCGGTTGCAAATCATGGATAGATTCGTGGTAGTATTTTGTAATTAATTAAGACATGCATACTTTCAGCAAGTCACTTCAATAGATGAACTGTATTTGTTTTAGCCTGAATTATGAAATATTATTCGAGTGACATTGTCATTTTCTGAACACTCAAGTTGAAAATCGATGCATTCACGTTGGCGCCTGTACATACGTACAAAGCTTTTGCCTTAATGTGGTTGAACAAGACACTCACAGAAACACACACCAAGACACTCACACAAATACACACACCAATACACACACATTCACACAAACACACACCACATTGTTTGGTCACTCGGTGTCACTGTGACAGGTCTGATATTTCCATTAAAGTAGAATCACCAATAGGCCCAAATATATTATAAGCCTAGGTCATTTGCGAGCTTGACATTATGACAGCTTTGAGTTCTTCATTTGAGAAAAGGAGTGTGGAAGTCAGAGATGTATGCCAACATATCTTTGGAATGGCAATCATAAATTGAGATTAATAATATTCTTGGATATTTTGGAAGCTATCGGAGCTAATGATAGCTGAAATTGCCAAAGTTGTGGACTACACATCTAATGAGTTGTTACTGTGCTGCCATCTGCTCCAAATGTACAGGATAACGACTGATAGTACCAGTGTTATTATTGATACTGGAACAATAAGAAGATAATTATGTAAATACGTACACCAGCTGGGACGTTAACCAAAACCCTGATTACAGTAAGTGCGTGAGTATGGTTTTATGCCGCTTTTATCAATATCCCAGCAATATCGTCGGGGGACACCAGAAATGGGCTTCACACATTGTACCCATGTGGGGAATCGAACCCTGGTCTTCGGCGTGACCACTAGGCTTAACCCCACCCCACCCCTCCCTCCCCCCACACCACACACCCTACACACCACACACACACCCACACCCTTTGCTTTTTTCATTTTGTGATCTAAATAACCAAAGCACAGGGACCCATATATCTGAAGTCAAAAACTGCTGTCTCAAAGTTGAAGGGACCTACGAAAATACTTCCAGTTAAACGAGGTTCGACACGTCGAGCGAAATAATTGCTAAATTACGAATGATTAGGGGTCCAGCTTTTACTTCCACACATCCGTGAGTTCGACACATCCGAACGTTCGACACAACGACGTGTGGCTGTTTAATATCAACATCTTTGTAGATCAGTTCAGAAGAAAAATGATGGTCAAACACATTAAATGATATACATTAAAACTCTCTCAGTTTCCATTTGACAATTCCATTTTGGAACATGTAGATTAGAAAAACTAACGTGACACGTGTGTCTTTAAACAATACAATCAAAATGGTGGCAGCCATGCCTGTTGATACAATATGAATAGATACCCCATTAAGGAACCTTATCTCGATTGTTTGGGTTGACCGGTGTGCAGTGTGCAGGAAGCCGAGCGGACCCGATTGTGAGGCAGGTTAAGGGCAGGTTACACATACAGAATGCTTAATCAAGTGTGATAATTTACACCTGGAAAAAATATATTTCACATCTGGACTATATATTTCCATAAATTTCCCATTTCGTGTATTAAGTTATGTGCATATGCTTTTGTTTAGTCGGAATTGTGTTTTGTATAATTTCGTGTTCCACGATCCGTTGCATTTGCAATTCGACTGCTTGTTTTCGTTTTCTCTGCATTTATGTATGATAGTGTTTGTGAAGCCATCTGACCGACTGAGTTTAGTTTTACGCCGCTTTTAGCAATATTCCAGCAATATCACGGCGGGGGACACCAGAAATGGGCTTAACACATTGTGCCCATGTGGGGAATCGAACCCGGGTCTTCGGCGTGACGAGCCAACGCTTTAACCACTAGGCTACCCCACCGCCCCGAAGCCATCTGAAGAAATATACAGCGTTGTTATACCAATACTTCACACGTACCTGACCCGTGAAGGTCTGGGTTAGAATATTGACCTTCAGTAACCCATGCTTGTCGTATAAGAGGCGACTCACGGGATCGGGTGGTCAGGCTCGCTGACTTGGTTGACACGTGTCATCGGTACCCAATTGCGCAGATCGATGTTCTGGCTGTTGATCACTGGATTGTCTGGTCCAGACTCGACTGTATACAGACCCTGATAGCAATGTTCGTTGGGCCAACATTGGCCAACGTAGGCCCAATGATGGCCAATGTTGGTCCAACATTGGCCCAACGGACATTGCTATCTGGGGACCGCCGCCATATAGCTTGAATATTGCTGAGTGCGGCGTAAAACTAAACTCACTCACTCACTCACACGTACCTGTGGTATCCCCAAACAAACCACACACAATATTCTGATATGTTCTGAGACAACCACAGTTCTTTTAATTTCCAAATCAATACATGGACGTTTTCATTTTTCATTTTTGAAAATATTTTGTTTGTATTGTCATCAAAAAAGTGTGACAATAGTTTATGATATCGCAGCTTCTCGATCGGATAACGTCACAGATATGTTCCTGTTGATCAATTCATTTGTGGGTAACGATTTCCTAGACTCTTGAGAACATTGACCTCTTTCACCCTAAATTGTCACAAACCTGGTACAAATGTCACGTGACACAGGACTCAAGTCTGTTTTACGTAAGGTGAAACGTGACAGATCATCAAAAATGAATTACCCTGATTTTGGAATGAATTGAAACACTCCGTTACTTCGTATCTTAGATCAATCGCACAAACGCAACTTCTCTGATATTCCGCGGAGCATCTGTTAACTGTTGAGCAGCCAATTTCTGCCGTTTGTTCCCGACTGTAAGTCATCGACAAAACGCAACCCAAATTTCTCTGCGCAACCACCTGTGGCTTCATATATTACAAAATCGATGTAATTTATCCAGCTTCGTTATTTATGGTGGAAGGGACATTATATGTCAACAATTCCATACTGCCAAATGACGATCAGCTAAATTTCATTAGCTGCCACACACAATTGAGTGAATCAATTTTCGGGAAAATTCTAAAGTTTATGTCTAAACAAGCTATGTATAGACCTACACTAAGCATTCATTGAGGACATTTAACTTATTGCAAACCGATAAGTGTACACGCGAAATAGGATGGGTTAAAGACGATACTACAATTTCCTGTAAACCAATCGATCAGTGGCGAGTGGATATTCACTCATGCGTACGTGTAGGGACCAAGCGGGATCAGATGGACCAAAGGAATATTATAGTAATGTTACTGTAAACATTTAGAAATCATTTCTTGACCCGACAATCCTTACAAACTCCAGTTTATGTATTATTGTGTTTAGTTTTACGCCGCTTTTAGCAATATTCCAGCAATATCACAGCGGGGGGACACCAAAATTGGGCTTCACACATTGTACCCATATATGGAATCGACTGGGCTACCTGACCGCCCGAGAACATGTTCAAATTTCTGTGGGGTAAGCATCTCATTCGACAAGCTTTATTTGTTTGTTTATTGTTTAAGGACGCACTCAGCAATATTCAAAATATATGACAAGTCTGGACCAGACAATCCAGTGACTAACATCATGAGCACCGATCTACGCAATTAGGATAACGATCCTGACTACTTGATCCCGTTGGTCCCCAATTGCAACGACCGCCTCCGTGGTGTAGTGGTTAGAGCGTCCGCCCGGAGAGCGGAAGGTCGCGAGTACGATCCCCGACCGCGTCATACCAAAAGACGTTAAAATATGGTACTTGTTGATCCCTGCCTGGCGCTCGGCATTACTGGATACAACAAGGACTGGTCGGCTCGGAGTCAGTATACTGTGTCTGAGTGGGGTATTCATGCTTCACTGCGGCATGGTATCTCAGTGGGCTAGCACTATAAAACCAGCTTCAGTCTGGGCTAGTACAAGCAGCCGCACATACACATACACGCGCATGCACGTCGTCATATGAGCGAAACATTCTCAAGCACAACATAAAACCCAATTTCACCTCACCTCACCCCAATTGCAACAAGCATGGGTTGCTGATGATCACGGGACCGTTCATAATGTATGTGTGTGTTTGTGTGTGTGTGTGTGTCTGTGCTTCTCCATAATAATCATCAACCCTCCCTCCCACCCAACCACCCCACCCTATCATTTGCATGATGAACCTGACGTTGTGTTATCGTTACAACGATGAGACAGTGAGTTAGGTTCGACTTCGTCCAGCCGCCACACGTACTGCACTTACATCTCCGCTTGAGGTTTATGTATGACAGGGGCGGTGAGGAAGCCTAGTGGTTAAAGCGTTCGCTCGTCACGCCGAAGACCCGGGATCGATTCCCCACATGAGTACAATGTGTGAAGCCCATTTCTGGTGTCCCCCGCCGTGATATTGCTGGAATTATGCTAAAAGTGGCGTCAAACCATACTCACTCATGTATGAAAGGAAATGTCGCATCAACCTGGAACGCTTTCGGACAACATCAATCTGTCCTTGGGTCGAAAACCTTTATTTGTTTCGTGCAATCATGCGCCCTGTCTCAAAATGTGTCTACTATCTGGAACACGTTTACGATTGTGTCAGTTGTCAGTGTCAAATCTGCAATTACCTTGAGATAAAATACTGATACTCACATCTTCAATATATAGTATCTATTGTATCGATGGTATGAACCATGCCTTGTCACATTCCATGTAAGATTGATGGACAGTAGCTGGCGATAATCCTTCCACTGACCTGGGAGTTACTTATTGATAGATTTAGTTCGGTGATTGTTAGAGGTCAGCCGATGTCTGTATCCGGTCATGTTGTGTGAGGTCCGTGGTCATGTGCTTGTGTGTATGAGAGATTGTGTGAGTCTCTGCGCGCGTGTGAAAGAGCGCGTGCGTGCGTGTGTGTGCATGTATGTGTTTGTGTGAGTGATGATATATGTGAGAGTGTGTGAGTGAGCGAATGAGTGGGCCAGTGTTTGAGTGAATGTGTGTGTGTGAAAGAGAGAGAGAGAGAATGTGTGAGTGTAAATATCTTAGTGAAACTGTGTGTATGAGAGAGTACGAGAGCGTGTGAGTGAGTTAGATTGAGGGAGACTCTGTGTGGGGTTGTGGGGAGAGAGAGAGCGTGAGAGTGTGTGTGCGTACGAGTGTGAGAGAGAGTGAATGAGCGTGGTAGTGTTTGGATTGTGTGTGAGAGAGAAGGAGAGGATGTTTTGTGCTTTAGTCTTCTTTGTGTGCGTGTTTATGAGAGCTTATGTTTGAGTGTGTGTGAGAGAGTGAATGTGTGTGTCTGCATGTGCTTCTACTAGTTTAATAGTGTGAGCCAACTGAGCTACCTTGCCACAATGTGGCATACCGAAATGGGGAAAAAAACAGACTTTCAGCATACCAGTCGTAGTTCTGTCCCCTCAATGCCGAGTTCCAGGCGGGGAAACAACTAGCACCACCATTTAATGTATTTTGGCATGACGCAGTGGAGATCGAACCAACGACATTCGGCGCCTCGATCAGACGCTCTTTCCACTCAACATGGGACGCGGTCACCAAGTGTATTATTAATTTGAGAATCAGGTGAGTTAGTGAATCAAAATATTACGTCGATTCGGAATTATTTCAGATATAAGTAAATTTACAAACTAATACTGAGAATCAAACATGGATATTCACAAGAATGAGAATATTCATGAGAATCAAACCGGAATATTCACAAGAATGAGAATATTCATGAGAATCAAACCGGAATATTCATTTTGAGCGATCACTTTTACCACTGCACAACTATACTATCAGAGAAGTAAGGCACAAACAAGGCCGCATTTGGTACCAAAAGGTAAAAAAAACTGCCTCCGTCATAAAAGAAAACAATGAAGAGTTTACATGTTTTCACACACATATCTACCTGACATCACTGGTTATCTTAATAGTGCTCATTTGAAATATACTCTTTAAAAAAGTAGGGCAACCTTAACTTTCAATTTGGATAGGAAGTATACGTCTTAACAAACTTTTCAAAGACAGATTTCTTATGAACGCACCACCATTTCTCCCCAAACACTACGCAGTGGGTGCACGTGCACAACGCAGTAGTCCCATACACGTACACTGGGTGTCATTCTTTTTTTGGACGGTTTTCAAGAAGGTCGATAAATCACTGTAGACCATTTATTCTGACTGTCATCTTGCATCACACAGTTGTTAGTGTTTGTTTCTAGCCGGGATTTTGGTTTTTAAAAAAAAAATGAAAATGCTACACATGCAAATTCACGTCATACAACAATCATCTTTCAAGAGCGATCACTGTACAGACAGCTGTGGTCACAAGGAAGTGCTAGTGGTGATGCACTCTGAAAACATCCATTATTATCATATCAACATTGATTGACTCCGATATAACTAACAATTTTTCAATCGCAAATTAAATATGAGTATAGAATTGTTAGTACGTCGTCTTTATTACACTCGCAGCCTTTCCTGCCAACTCGCTGATGCCTTGGTGCAGTATCGACACACGTATAAAGATCCATGTCACATGCATATAATGACATGCTGCTCAGCTGGTTAACTCGGACAATAACCCTTTATGAGCGATTGACAATACGTTGGCCTCGCACCTGTTGCACATGGTTAAGGGTTAATTGGTGCATCCACGAGTATATATATTTGTCTGTTTCTCCCGGGTGCAGTACCTGCTCCGTTGCAACAACCAGTGTCCGCTGACCAGCATCCAACATGGCTCGTCTCCTGCTCTTCACTACCCTAGCTGTTCTTGCCACACTGGCAGCTTGCGATGGTAAGTTCTGTTCGTAATGCCATCGACTGCATGTTTACAAATGTACTTCTTACTGACCTTTGGGGAATTTGTCAAATCATGCTCAGCCGTGTGTGTTGCACTCGATACTTAACTTCATTTCACGGGCTGCAACTGTAGTTGAGCATTGTTGATGTTTTTGGATGGACAATTCGAAATTATGAGAATGTTCATAAACACAGTTTGCTCATGATCTGGTTTGAATCGTGCCACTATCTCTGCTTTTAGCTGAGATTTATTGTGAATGTTATGAATCTATATGAGTTTTTAATGTGAAGTCTTCTTCCAAGGAGGGGCGGTTGGGTAGCCTAGTGTTTAAAGCGTTCGCTCGTCACGCCGAAGACCCGGGTTCGAATCCCCACATGGGTACAATGTGTGAAGCCCATATGTGGTGTCCCCCGCCGTGATATTGCTGTAATATTGCTAAAAGCGGCGTAAAACTAAACTCACTCACTTTTTCCAATAGAAGAAGGGTCTGTCATACTGACAGCGTTCAACAGTAAATCATGTTCTCAATTCCGTAGGCTGCACGGTTATAAATTTGCTTCTTTTGGATCGACCAACCTAAATCATAACATTTGCTGATGACCAAACAGTTATTTGTAGTGACTGGTCTGATCCTTAGAAAATGTCTTGTCGAGTCCTTTTGTTTAGTGCACATTCTGGATCGACACCCACTACCTGTTACGTCACAAGCGTTGTTCTGGCAGCCTCAGATCAACTATTTCCCACCATCACCACCACTCCTGCAGGAAAGTAGATGGTTGTTGCCTTAATCTGACATTGGGAGACACAATGAAAATATTCAAACTTTAAACCAGTCTGAATGACTCTCCTTCGTTCGATGAGACAAACTTGTCAATGAAGGTATCCATGCCATTACGTGGTCAATATTGCTTCCTTTAATGGCAGTTTACAAGTTGGGAGTTACAATATAGAAGTAAACTTTCTGGATAACAACTTCTTTATTTCTTTAAGACTTTCTGTGTTTGAGGCAACCATCCACCATGTGCCAATCGACGTTTCGATACAGGCTCTTGTACCGTTGTCAAGCAGGGACTGACTGACTGAATTTGGTTTTACGCCGCTTTTAGCAATATTCCAGCAACATCACGACGGGGGACACCAGAACTGGGCTTCACACATTGTACCCATGTGGGGATTCGAACCCGGGTCTTCGGCGTGACGAGCCAACGCTTTAACCACTAGGCTACAACAACGGTACAAGAATCTGTACCTAAACGTTGCACTCACGAAATGAAGAACTTGTTATCCATAAAGTTTGTCTTTATTCAGTACTGCTATTGACATTTACTTCACAGATGACTGTTACAGAAAGCAGGACGGAACAGCAATCTACAGTGGAACAAAATCTGTAACCGCAAGCGGAAAACAGTGTCAGGCTTGGTCCAGCCAGTCCCCGAACATCCACTCCTACAGCCCAGAGGACTTCGACGTCACCAACGGCGCACCAAACCTCAGCTTCAACGCCATCCGCAACTACTGCCGTGACCCTTCTGGAGGAGGCATGCCTTCATTAGGGCAACTGTGGTGCTACACAGCTGATGAAGCAGGATGGGAAACATGCATGGTTTCAAAGTGTTCCTAGCTGATCCAAGGTGTTCCTAGGTGTTCCTTGGTGTTCCTAGGTGTTCCTATGTTGTCCAAGGTCCTCCTTGGTGTTTATATGTGTACAGAACTAAATCTCGGATGTTGAAACAAAATTTAAATTGTAAACTTTGATCATTATAAGAACAACGTGGAATAATAAATATGCAAGGAAAAACTGATATTGTTTTACATCTTTATGCGGTACAGACCATTTAATAGGTATACTCGAACAATATATTTATAGCACATGTTTTCATGGCAATTATTTTTATACGTCCCTTTCCGTTGAGAAAGTTACCCGGTATCATACAGACGCGCCGTAAGAGAAGGGTTCCTGAAGAACAGGGCCCGCTTGATCAAAGCGATCTAAACGCCACGAGATCCGTGTTAGAATTGATCTTCAGTAGCCCATGCTTTTCGTAAGAGGCAACTAACGGGATCGGGTGGTCAGACTCACTGACTTGGTTGACACATGTGATCGTATCCCAATTGCGTAGATCGATGCTCATGATGTTGATCACCGAATTGTCTGGTCCAGACTCGATTATTTACCTACCGCCGCCATATAGCTGGAATATAGCTGAGTGCAGCGTAAAACTAAACTCATTCACTCTCTCACTCACTTAGCGCCACGATGATCGTAACTCCCATTCGCTAACACAGCCTTAAGATGGTCGTAGCCCTAAGGTCGCTTTCTGCAAGCGACTTCTGATACCCAACATACAGGTAAGGACCTGACTGACAGGTACTGTTGTCCTACTCTATTCATTGTTAATCGGCAACATTTCTGGTTGATGCATCCGTGGTCTGCCAACATCCCTGACTAAATAAATCCTGAATCACCTTGGTCACAATCGGTTCGTGAATCATGTGCATGTCCTTACTAAATGTCAGGTCCTCTGAACTCAGTAAGCTCACTCCTCAACTCCAATTTAGTTTTTCAGTTTCCATGTTCGCGGCTCCCGCCTCTTTCCCCACTGCCACAACTGGATATCGGTGTTGTTACAAGTCTCGGTAATAAGAATCATGTAGTTGGTGTCCACACTTAGACAGAGGCCACTGGCGGACACAACTGGACCGTGTCCATCAGCAGTTGGATCATAACGCCACTTTTGATTCATCTGATCTTCGTCACATATTGCCATGGCAACAGGTCCCGTAGCTTCCTGGAAACAAAACATGTAGTTCTTGATTTCCCTGAGTTCCGTGTAGTCCCATAGTTGGTTTCCAAGCTTTCCGTGGCACGGAATCAAAACAATGGGTGATTCCAACCTATTTCTCTCAAAAGCGTCATGAATGCAAAACGTCCTCAAACCAACATTCCGCATCTCGCCAGTATATATCCCATCTCCAACAATGTAAGACTCGGGGCTGACGTTGGCAAGGTACCATTCAAACGAATGGCAGTGCAGATCCTGTCTTAGCTTAACCCTGTCAGAGACGTCGCCGATATCAGCCAAGGAACCGTCAAAGTTACGGGCGAAGATGTTGTAGCTGTCCATCCAGACGTTGGCGATTCTGGCAATGTTTCGACTGTAGAAATGTGGATTGGTGTCGTAGTATTTATTGCGATGGAACATATGGCCAACATTGGAGCAGGGGACTAGCTCCAGTCCTCCCCCACACATCCAGGTTTTAAGGGAGAGTTCTGTGTTCTCTGCACCCCACACCTCCAAGCCGGGGTCAAACTGTCCCAGTTTCCGAAACCATCTTTGACTGACAGCAAATACGCATCCTACCATTGCAGGAGAACGGTAGGTGTCTGTTGGTCGTTTTCGTCTTAATTGTTCTCGCTGTGGAACCCTCGTCCAAGCAAATCGTAGTTCAGGGAAAGACACCCACTGTAACCGGATATCCTTTGTCAGGTCAATTCCGAAGTCCAAGGGGTTAACACCGTGTATCAAAGGAGTGGTGATTATAGTATCATTTTCGGCGATCCTTGTCACCAGTGGTTCCAGCCAGCCAGGAAAACATTCACAATGTGCGTCCATGAACACTGCTACAGGAGCCGTAGACTGTTCAAATCCCACCATCCGCGCTCTTATCAAACCCTGCCTGGACTCAGCTCGCAGTAGCTGCACTTTGCTGAATCTGGACACATACTCCTCCAACGGTTCCTTCAGAACCTCGTCTGTAGATGCATCGTCCACTAAGATGATCTCCTTGATAAGATGAGGTGGAGTGTTGTCCATGATGCTGTGGATAGTCCGTAACAGGACTGACCAGTGCTCGTTGTGGAAGATGATGACCACACTGGTTTCAGGGAGGTTGAGGTCTGTGTACAGCGAATGACATCCCTTAAGACGGATATCAGGCAGAGATCTCTGGAGAGGTATGAGACTACTGATATAAGTCGAGTACTCCCGGTCCTCGAAACTCCTCCGGAACTTTTTGGCTTCTTCCATGGGAAGTTTCCTCACATCTAACACCAATCCTGTGCCATTGACTCCTGGATCCATCAGGTCCATTTGGGCAAACACGAGTTTCACATTGGGATCGTCGGGGTTGTGAAGACGTAACAAGGGATCTGGCAATTCCAGAGACAACTCACTGTGGTTCTTCCCTAAACTGTACATCAGAGCGACTACGGCGCTTATTAATAAACCAACCAATGCGATTAGTCGTGTCCTTGGACGTGCGCATGGTAAGGTCATGATGCACACACTTCTCAGCCACTGTGGTGAACGTTCAGCAAGTCGCACTGTGATAATCAAAGGTATTGCAAACAGTTAAATCTAGACATGCGTGCATATTCCTCCGTTGTGTCATAAACTATTCACAAACAGCCTCCTATGAATGGGTGCTTTGATATATCGAAATGGCAACGAGCATAACTATCGATCTTCAGAAAATCTATCACGTTGCACTAGGGAACAATACATAAAAGTAGTACTAAAAAAAAATGTCTATAACATATAAAAACGGAACGAGATAAATATTGAGCATCTTGGTATTTCGCTCAATATGTATTACTTAAGCACAGACAAACACAGCAGTAAAATTTAGATCAGCTGGCCAGTTGGCTTGCCATGTGTTTGTTGTGTGTCTCAACGGTGGGGTAGGGTGACCTGACGAAATAATTCATGGGTAATTATTTTTATTTAAATCTTTGGATACACAATGAGATACCATCATTCCATTTCAAAATCATAAAATATCTCGCAGTGGGTATATACCAGTCTATTTAACTGACATCAGATCCTCTGCATTATAGATGTGACACTGTCTATGAAATATTAATTCATAGAACCCAATGCTACTGCAAAAATAACCGCGCGGGCACGTACGCACACACGCACACGCACACACACACACACACACACACACACATACATGCATGGCCGAGACGAGTGAGTGAGTGAGTGAGTGAGTCACAAATAAGACCAAAACTCTGATGGAGATAGACATTTCAGAATTTCCTCTATCACTAACATCTGGAAGCGAAGTGATTGATTTGGATTCCTGCTGCCAAAAATTTAACCGAACAACCTCAAGGTTGAAAGTGCACATTACGTGCACAGAAACTAAACGAACACGAAACAATCTTCTTTTATGCCCATGCAGACTACACCCAATGATTGTTAATGCAGTGCAACATTAAGATAATTTATGCGACAAAACCTTCCCACATCCACGGTAAATGTCTCCTGAAAGTATGGCTATGCCATGAGCTTGTGTTTATGAATCACCATGAAACAGTGATGATATCAGGTACGCGAACAGGTGAGCGTATCAATTGGTGGCACATGCCATAAACACATGCAAAGGCTGGTCAATTTTTCACCTGAAAGAATACGAGAACATATTGGACAATTTAACCTGGGGATTTAAATCGGAAATAATGATTGTTACTATGTGTCAGATTTCATTATGTCCTCCACAAAGCGTTTGTAACGTTGATCAGCTTATGAGCTGAAGACGTATACCGATCATCGCGATCTGGGTGAAATGACTGCTCTCGATTGTTCCTCAAAAGTAATGAAATATTGACATCAGAGTCTGGAGCTGACAAATATTGCTCGACATAAGGGGAAAGTTGAAGTCATCACTCTCATAAAGTTTTCTGGTGAGTTGTTTTGTCACTCTCGATAAACAAGCACTAAACGAGGAAATGCAAGACAATATGGTCAAAGGGTAGTTAGTCTGTTGGTCCTTGGTTCCAATTGTAACTGACCACCATTATGCTCCACATTAAGCTGTCGTGATATAACTGTTGGCTTTCAACATACAACCCAATAGCTGAAATAGACAAATGTGGAACAGTTAGCTAGCATGGAGAAATTGGCATGGCTGCGAGGCGATGTGGATTCTGGGCTTCTGTTAGTTTCTACAGGTGCAACTCGGATCAGGAGCGTTGTTTCCGAATCAGACCAGATTTTGATGTTCAGTAGGACTGTATGTTTGTTTCTTTGTTTTGTTTGTTGTGTTACTGCTATATGGTGGCAGTCTGTAAATAATCGAGTTTGGACCAGACAATCAAATGATCAATAGCATGAGCATCAACCAAGTCAGCGAGCCTGACCTTACGATCCCGCATGTGTACTGGAGTCTTTGAATGTCATTTAGAATGGTAGAATAACGTGGACTGTTTACTGAAATAATTTTCCAATTCAACTTCAAGATCATTTGGGTTATTACTCGAATCCATAACGAAATGATAACATCCGTTGGTATGTTAATGCTAACTATTCTGTAATATAATGCGTCATGCCGAAGACCCGGGTTCGAATCCCTACAGGGGTACAATGTGTGAAGCCCATTTCTGGTGTCCCCCGCCGTGATGTTGCTGGAATATTGCTGAAAGCGGCGTATAACCAAACTCAGTCAGTCAGTGTAATATAATAATTGTTTGGTTGTTTTATTGAATAATAATATCCACAAAATATATTTACAAATGAAATGCCAAATAATGTCAATCATTTTCTGGAAGCCAATGTTGTTCATAAGATATTATATTCAAATCACTCAAACATGTCATCTTCATTATTGCTGGTGCAATATCTTGAAAGCTGCCAACATTTGCATGGTGTTTGCACTGAATGGATTACATCTGGACCAATTGTGCTCGGACAAAGACTCTTTTATGAGAATTGGCCGAACATCTGTCGCAATTGACAGAAAGATCAATGGTTGATTATATTTAAATCGCAATCGCGTCACCCACGTCTACATTTGTCTTGTGGTAACGACGTGCGCAGCACCAACTCCGTTGCAACTGTACAGCATCCACCATGGCTCGTCTCCTGCTAGTCGCCACCCTGGCCGCTCTTGCCTCACTGGCAGCATGCCAAAGTAAGTTTTGTTCTTAATGCCATAGCCAACAGGTTTACAATTCCACCTCTAATTGACATTTGCAGAATTTGTCAAATCACACATGTGGGTTTCAGGAGATGTGTAACTTCGTTTCACGAACTTGAACAGTATTTTTAAGTTAAGCAATTTTTTCATATTCTTGGGGAATTTTCATTCGAAATCATCTTCCCAATATTCAATAGTAAATGTGGCTGCCACTATTCGAAAGCGTTCAAATTGTCTCACCCATATAATCACAAAATAATTTCCTTTGTATCTTCCTCCCGTAAAAGTATCTTTTTGAAAGTCCGTATTCTTAGTTTCTTAAAACTATTTTTCGTTTCTTAAACATAATTATTTGACAATCACATGCGGCGGTGTTTTTTCACTCAGTAACCATGACCGTAAATTATTCCTTCGTTCATCGACTCAAGTCCTCACCTTGAAAGAGTTTAGGAAAGTACAGGACAAGACACAACAATGGCATTTTTGGTGCACGGGATCAGCATAATTTAAGATATCAGCAACCTATTTTCAAAATGAATTGAAAGTTTTAAGATATGTTCGAATTAATAGTAAAATATAAACATCGGCAGTGCACTGAAGGCAACAAATATTATCATTGTCAGACATATTTTAGACATACTTGCTGAGTCAGACAAGGATGCGGGTTAGGTCCGTGACTTTTTATTGACGAATTAATGTTGCATGTGAACATATCTTTAGGAGATGGAATTTCGATTCCGAAGAATATAGAAAAGTGTCTCAGTATTATCTTACAGAATTATCTCAAGTTACCTTGAATCATATGAATTTTTGAACGGTATATTGTGTAAGATGTGTTACATATCCGATAAAATCATCTTATGAGAGGTAATATCTCCGCAGTGTAATCATGGTCTACATGGCAGTTTGTTTATAAGAATCTGTTTGCGCCTGTGTTTAAATCGAAAACGTCAACGACAGCCCAACCCAGAAGACCTACCGCTTCCACATATTGCACAAACAAGCTGTTTGTTGCCTGCAATCGCACAGCAATAACAGGCGTGAAGACTTTATTTTGGAAGGATATAAACATTTTTTAAAATATTGCAAGCAAGACTAAGTGGACGAAGGCACCGCACTTCAGTGTAGGATTCTATCCCTTTTGGCGAGACAGGATCCTATGATGGTGATCCTCATAAGTTAGAAGGTGCACAGCTCCAAATCCTTTGTCATTTCCGGCCCTCTCAGGCATGAGCAGACATGGAGTGACATTTCTACATTACTCTTTTGTTTGATGAGAGGAGCGTGTGAAAAAATCCAGCATATTTATGTTTTATATTGAGACTAACCTTTTCTTCACAAATGAAATATTGAGAAAAAGACTCAGAAAAAAGCCTTATGTAAAAGACCTACTTCCTTGCCAAACCTTTGGCGAGCCAGGATCCTGTGATTGTAGGTTGCCAGGAATGTACTCTAGTGTTTTAGCAAACGTTGCAAACGTCTCAGACTTCAATTTGGGCTTCACAGATATACTTTTCAATTCCCCCTTCAATCAGATACCATGTCAAGAAAGTATGAATATAATTCACGTATCATATTTATTGATATTGGCATTTTCTTCACAGCTGACTGTTACACCAAGCAAGACTTTACAGCAGTGTACGGTGGCACCGTAGCTGTGACCGACGAAGGCGTTCAATGCCAGTCCTGGTCCAGCAAGACACCAAACAATCACGCCTTTCTCCCTGAGCACTTCGACGTCACCAACGGTGCAAAGTCCTCCGACTATCCTGGGAACTACTGCCGGGACCCATCTGGAAATGGCTCGCCCTCACTTGGATTTCTCTGGTGCTACACAGCTACTGGAACAGGCTGGGGGACATGTGATATTCATAAGTGTCATGATCAATAACTGTACATTAATGAAGCATGAACTTTAAAACAAGTTGGAATCGTGGATCTCGTTTCAAAAATAAATCTGAATTGACAAAAATATATCTTGCGTCTGTTTTCCATGTTCTTGTGGGCCCTAATATATTCGAATGTTATTCATTCATTCATTCACTCATTCATTCATCCACCACTCAGTGACTCATTCATTGTGTTTACTTATTCATTTTAATTTGTTTTAGGTTTTTAATTTATTTATTTATTTAATTTTTTTTCAATTCGTTTATTTATTTTCTTGGGGGGGTGGGGGTGGGGGTTCGCTGCAATCTGAAATCGAGTGGGTGATTTGGGTTTAGGTTAACAAGAATTGAACAGGCGAACCTCTTGGTTAAGAATCCACATTATATTATTTATATATAATTAACCCCAAAGCCACCGAAAGAATTAAATAGGTAAACAACAACAAAACAGCACTGAGACAGTCTGTTTTTGGATATACGTAAAGATGCGGAGAGGCAAACACACAAGCGAGAGGAATGACTTCAACGTTCCAATATTCAACGTTCCCTTTATGCAAATCAGTAACAGTACAACATTTCCTTCATTTGATATAAGGGCCAAAAGCATCACTTTGGTTTTTCTTTCCTCATTCAAGCCATGACTCCTACACTCACGAAACGTAAATTCTGTATCACGTATCATGTGCGAAATAGCCACTGGCCCTCTAGCCTGTGGCTAGCAAAAATCCAGTCGAGTAAACAGGCCAGTAAATCTTCACAGTCACTGGCCCGACTGGCTAGTGAAGTTACATGGGTGAGTTTGTAAAACTATCACTCTCTCCGCCTTGTTAGGTTATAATACAATTTTTAATCATGCAAGATTATGGCCTGAAAGAAATGTTCAACATATTTTAACAGCTTAATTATAAAACCCGTGTCATGCCGACAATTTCTTATTCTCTCTATGTTGTAATCTTTTGCTTAGTTTCAACATTCATATTTTGAGCTAGTGGGATTTTTGTGGGCTAGTAGCTTTCAGGCATGTCTAGCCCGACTGTCTAGAAAATTTGGAAAATATATATTTCGCACACTGACCACGTGCCTCGACAAGGCCGATGATGGTCGTAGTATTCAGTATTCCAGTACACAAATGACCTCATCATTTTCTCTTCTCGTTCTATCAATATAGGTGTACATAACATATGTTATATATGGGATTACACTTTCTTAGTAAAGTACAAATTCTAGTACTTTTTCTAGTACTACTTCTAGTACCACACCCTCAGAGTCGGGCACCTAATCGCCAGCACACAAAGTCAGACGCCTAGATCACTCAGCCACCGTACCAATAACTTTCCATAAGGCGTGCCAGAAACCAAAAGTCGTGGGTTCGAATCCTGATACTCTAGGTTTGTCTGCACCATTCTAGACAAACGCTTAGTCTCTGGACGTAAACATATTTTTATAGAAACAAACAATTCTTTTCAATTTGAAAAGGAGAAGGGGGGTTCACCTGAGGAAATCTAGACTTGTTTCGTTTCGGGCATAACCATTGCAGAAAGGATTAGGCAGAAGGGGAAATAATACGGTAGAGTGACTGTGAGACAGACTAGCACCGCACCTGTTTTTATGGGCTTCGTGAAATTGGTTAAAGCATGTAACTTCAACACTGTTAACAACAATATTGAAATTAATTCAGTAACTTACTTAATAATTAGTAATACTTACTTAATGATATCGTGGTTTTTAGAATACAGCAACCTAAAATCGAGTGAGTATGGGTTTACACCGTTGTGGGCAATATTCCAGCAATATCACGATAAGACACCAGGAATGGGCTTCACAAATTTAACCTATGTGGAGAATGGAACCAAAAGATTGCAGCGTGACGAGCGAAAGCTTTTACCATTGGACTACCCTACCGCCTCGGAACCGTAAACGAGACAAAGGAATGATGAAGTTCCAAATGTGATTTATACACTGTAACTACCATGGTCACTATGAAAGAGTGAGCGATGTTAGTTTTACGCCGCTTTTAGCATTATTCTCGCAGAGACATTACGACAGGGCACTCCAGAAATGGAATATCCATGTGGGGAAGATACCTCGGCTCTTGACGAGCGGACGCTTCGACCATTACTCTACCCCACCGCACTCACGATCAAAGAAACCGGGGGTAGTGAGTGTAAGTAATGAAATGACAATCATAAGAGGTATTCAACACTGTGAATGCCATCTTCATTTTACCGATTGACGTGCAAGAATCCTTGCATATGAGTTGTATTCTTGTTGAAAGAATTGGCAAATATTCCAAATTTTCCGTGAGACTGTGTTGTGATAATTGGCAATCATCCACACAGTTTTTATGTACGGCTTGATGCAACCATCCACATATAAATACAATTATACTAATATAAAAGTGAATATCAATCAGTGCCATCTTTTATACTTTTTAACATTGTATTGCTATTTGTAGGTAATGGCTGTGTTGCAGTAGAAATTCACTTTTTGTGACCTATTTTTACAAGCTGATAAGATTTTATATTTCCGGCATCATCGCCCATCAGCCTTTCTTCATATAACAGACTTAGCAGTAATACTACACGTAGATATGGTTACATATAGAATAGAAATAAATGTCATGTTTATACATGTGGAATGTAAACTTAAGGGAAAGCACTTAAAATGTCGATTACAAATCGTCAACAATGCGACCTGGAATGTTCCATCATCTGATCTCACCCCCTGTCTGCAGATGTCATCCCTAGATAAGACCCGTGAAGATCCGGGTTAGAATTTATATTCAGTAACCCATGCGTGTCGTAAGAGGCGACCTACGGGATCGGATTGTCAGCCTCGCTGACTTGGTTGACACATGTCATCGTATCCCAATTGCGTAGATCGACGCTCATGACGTCAATCACTGGATTGTCTGGTCCAGACTCCATTATTAACAGATCAGGTTTGGAAATACACACGACAAAACACTATCAAACTAGTGATGAAACCTGTTACGCGAGCAGGTGAGCTTATTCTGCCCCACCCGTAACGATCCTTTGCATATTATTGTTTATAACGGGGTGGTGGGGTAGCATAGTGGTTAAAGCGTTCGCTCGTCACGCCAAAAACACGGGTTCGATTCCCCATAGTGTATAGAATGTGTGGAATATTCCTAAAGTTTCATAAAACTAAACTCACTCACTCACAGTTGTTTACAACGAATCCGAGGTATATCTACAGCACTTACCCAATCCCAGCGAAAATAAAATTGATCTTATTACCCAATTTCATGACGGAATGTGAACAATATCAGCAGCTGTTTCTTTAATGGACAGGATAATGTGTATCAAATTTGAATTATCAGCCACAATGTCCAATCATGTTAACTTCCCAGTCAAGTGAAACACATTAAAGTTTTAATATCCCGAAAATCTGTCAACGATTTAAATGTTAGAGTGTGATGCGTTCACAAGCCAATCATTCTCTGGTTACGTAGGTGATACTACGAAATTATATTCCAAACATTTACGCTTCTCGTTACTGCCACACCCTGGTACAATATTTTAATAGATGTCTAAAGACGTATGGAATTTATGGATTTTAGCAAGCCTTCTTTTCTCGAACAAAGACTCCTTCATAAGTATGTCACAATTACGTTGGCCGAACATCTGTCACGTATGACAGAAAGGTTAATGGGGAATTCATTTTCAATAGAAATCCATCTACATAAACAATTGTGTGAATGTCACGTCGCGTGTGTTGACTTCTCCGGTGAAAACCACAATAAGGCGATCAGTGAACAGCATCCACCATGGCTCGTCTCCTGTTCTTAACAACCCTAGCTGTTCTTGCCACACTAGCAGCTTGCAATAGTAAGTACTCGTCTCCTGCTCTTAACAACCCTAGCTGTTATTGCCACACTAGCAGCTTGCAATAGTAAGTACTCGTCTCCTGCTCTTAACAACCGTAGCTGTTCTTGCCGCTCTAGCAGCTTGAAATAGTAAGTACTCGTCTCCTGCTCTTAACAACCCTAGCTGTTCTTGCCACACTAGCAGCTTGCAATAGTAAGCAGGAGACGAGTGCTCTTAACAACCCTAGCTGTTCTTGCCACACTAGCAGCTTGCAATAGTAAGTACTCGTCTCCTGCTTTTAACAACCGTAGCTGTTCTTGCCACACTAGCAGCGTGCAATAGTAAGTAATCGTTATAATTCTCTGTACTATCAGTTCGCTCCTTAAAGATCGGCAATTTAATCTTCTGAGAATGTTCATAAACACAGTTTGCTCATGATAATCGTACAATTGATGATACTTTTAGCAGAGATTTCTAATGAATGTTATGCATCTGTATGGTTTTTTTCGATATACGACTTTTTCAATGTTAGAAAGACGGTCACATGACCGCGAAGCAGACGCTCATAAGTGAGTGTGAGTGAGTGAGTTTAGTTTTACGCCGATTTTAATATCACGGTGGGGGACACCAGAAACGGGTGTTCACATCCTATTCCGATGTGGGGAATTGAACCTGGATCTTCGGCGTGACGAGCGAGCGCTTTAACCACTAGGCTACCCCCACCGCCCTACGCTCATAAGTGTATCGACACATTTTGACGTTCATACGTTTTTCACAAGACTATTCTTGAAATGACGTGAACACTGACCGAGTTTCACAGTCTTCAGGAACCCCAGTAAATCTCTAGCGAAGAATACATACTAACTTTAACATCATTAAATCCTTTAGGATACACTGGGATAAGTCATAGTTTAACTCAATGATTGGCTTGTGAACGCATGACATTCTAACAGTTAAATCGTTGACAGATTTTGGGGATATTAAACCTTAATGCGTTCACTTGACTGGGAAGTTAACATGATTGGACATTGTGGCTGATATTTCAAATTTGATACACATTATCTTGTCCATTAAAGAAACAGTTGCTGATATTGTTCACATTCCGTCATGAAATTGGGTAATAAGATCAATTCTACTTTCGCTGGGATTGGGTAAGTGCTATAGATATACCTCGGATTCGTTATAAACAACAGTGAGTGAGTGAGTGAGTTTAGTTTCACGCCGCTTTTAGCAATATTCCAGCAATTCCGATGTGGGGAATCGAACCCGGGTCTTCGGCGTGACGAGCGAACGCTTTTACCACTATGCTACCCCACCGCCCCTGGGATTTACAGAAAGCGCATTGAACACCCCCACCCCCACCCCGCCAAATACTATGTTTTCGCTTTGCAGAGTAGTGTCCCCTGGTGAGCCAGGATCCTATGTCCATGGTTTGCCAGGGAATGTTGCAGACGTCTCATACTTCAATTTGGGCTTTCATCCAACAATACACGACACGCCTTACATCACAGAAATACTGTTGAATTCCTCCTTCAGTTGATCTACCCCCATGAAGATCCGGGTTAGAATTGATCTTCAGTAACCCATGCTTGTCGTAGGAGGCGACTAACGGGATCGGGTGGTCAGGACTTGATGGACACATGTCATCGTATCCCAGTTGCATAGATTGATGCTCATGATGTTGATCACTGGAATGTCTGGTCCAGACTCGATTATTTACAGACCGACGCCATACAGCTGGAATACAGCTGCGCGCGACGGTAAACAACAACTAACCAGCCTTCAACCAATCAGATACCATGTAAAGAAAGTATCAATCATATTCACGTATCATATTTACTGACATTGACATTTTCTTCACAGCTGAGTGCTACACCATGCAAGGCTCCACAGCAGTGTACAGTGGTAAGAAATCTACAACCTACAGTGGAAAGACATGTCAGTACTGGTCCGTCACCGACCCCAACAATCACGCCTACTATCGTGACTACTTCGACATCACCAACGGTGCACCAAACCTCGGCTACGCTGGTGCCGCCAACCACTGCAGAGACCCGTCTGGAGGTAGCATACTGCCGTCTGGATATCTGTGGTGCTACCTGGCCGACTCTCCAGGAAGCGAACAATGTAGTATCCCTAAGTGTTAATAAATCTGAAGTGACAAAGTAGTCATTATTGTTTTTCATTCAAAACAAGTACCGGCTACTTAACATTACATAGAGGCAATAATATTAGTCCATTTAATCTGCACAAGTCTCCATGCATAATGCATGCTCGAAGCGCCCAAACAATCTGATTATTATTACACCAGATAACCCAAACTGCCTGTGAGGCGCTGGCAGGTTAATAGTCATATCACCTGTCCCACCGGGTACCCATTTATCTGCTGGGTTCTACGTTTCGGTCAATGCTTCAAGTAGTAGTAGTAGTAGTAGTAGAAAATGTAGAAGTAGTTTGTTTGATTGTCGTTAACTCTGCACTCGGCAATATTCCAGCTAAATTGCCGCGATCTGCATAAAATCGAGTCTGGACCAGATAATTCAGTGATCATCGTCATGAGCATCAATCAACCAAACCAGCGAATCTGACAACCCAATCCCGTTATTCGCCTTTTACGACAGGCATGATATATGCTGTATGGTATGGTATGGTATGGTACGGTATGGTACGGTATGGTATGGTATGGTTTGGTATGGTATGGTATGGTATGGTATGGTATGGTATGGTATGGTATGGTATGGTATGGTATGGTATGGTATGGTATGGTAAGGCTGTTGTCACACAGTGAAACTGAATGAATGAGTGAGACAATGCTTGGGTTTTCGGTTTTTAATGCTTCTTGGTATAAACCTCAAAGTCAAGTCTCGTTGTATAACTCCGTCTATAAATACTTCTGTTGTATGTTTCGTTTATCATACATATCAAAGTCCGTTTCCATCAGAAAATCACAAAATGGATTAGCTGATATACGAATGAACCAGCTCAGTATCCATGTAATTCCCTTCGATCATTTAACACGTGCAAAAGACGCCAACGAGTCTAGAATGTTGAGCCTCATCTTGACCCTTAACTTCAGCTTCACAATTTCAACTGACCCGTAACAGTTACTTCTGGTCAGTAATTTTCTTGGAAACGTGACTGATACAATTGTCTATGACCCGTCTGTGTCAATTCTGGATTCACTGTGCTTCCAGTCTACAGCCATTCTACATCGTCGTCATCCAGTCCACACCCAGTCTGTAACAATTCTACACCATCAACATCAACTCTTCGTACAGTCTATATCAAATCATCAGTCATTCTATGTCCATTCTTCATCCATTCTAATGGGCGGTGAGGTAGCCAAAGACCCGGATTCGATTCCCCTCATGGGTACAGTGTGTGAAGCCCATTTCTTGAATTTGCTGGAATATTGCTAAAAGCGGCGTAAAACCCAGGATACGACACCCACGCTATATATAATCTGCGTCAGGTATGCACTCAGTCTACTTCAGGTGTTATGAGGATGGGCTTTTGTTAATTGTAATGTCACATTGATATATTCAACTTTTAGTTATTATGGGTCACAAAAGTTTAAAGCGATGAGTGTGGATTTGAACGCGCACCTTGAACTTAGGCTATGTATTTTCACCTGTTGAGAGTGGGCTGAGGAGTTACCCCGCCCCACCCCATTGTAACATTGAGGAACGAGCGATTGTACAGTAAAGCATAAACGAACACTAGCGATTAGAGACAAATGTGATTGTACAATGAAACATTACCGAATACTAGTGATCAGAGACAAGAGTGATTGTACAATAAAACGTAAACAAACACTAGTGATCAGAGATAAGAGTGATTGTACAATAAAACGTAAACAAACACTAGTGATCAGAGATAAGAGTGATTGTACATTGAAACATAAACACAAGTTATCAGAGACACGAGTAATTGAACAATAAAACGTAAACGAACACTAGTGATCAGAGACACGAGTGATTGAACAATAAAACATAAACGAACACTTGTGATCAGAGACACGAGTGATTGTACAAAAAAACTCATTTCAACACTTCATGTAAACAAGAAAGTAAAATAAAACATAAGTTTATTGATGTAACTAAATACTGTACCGAGGGAACACCAGATGGGGACAACCGTGTAAGCAGAAAAATGAAAACACACACGTGTTGACCTTGTGTTGCCTCTATCGATTGTTCATCCAGTTCTGAAGAAGTAGACAAATAAAATAGGTCACTGAATATGGGGTCGTTGAGATTAGTCATAAGACGTCATCATGTTTTGCATGAAACTACCGGCACCCCCTGAAGCCACTAAATATTGTATAAATGTACAACGAATGAGTGAGTGAGTGAGTAGGCGTGCAGCAATATTCGAACAATATCACGGCGGCTAAACCGGAATATGGCTTCACACATGGCACCAATGTGGAAATCGAACCTGGGTCATCGGCGTGACAAGGGAACGCTTTAACCACTAGGCTACAAGATTACTCTAGTTGTACTGGGTCTAGGTTTTTGTATTTGTTTACTATGCGGGATGGTATATCTTTAGTTTTGCATAGAATACACACACGCGCGCGCGCGCGCACGCACGCACGCACACACACACAGCACACACGTACATACACGCACACGCAAATGCACACACACATAAACATGTGCATACGCATCGCATTAATCCATAATACACGTCTCTCGAATCCAGTTTTATTTCCCTTTCAATTAAATCATGACGCCTGCCAAATGTTTAAATGCCGTCTCTTCACTTCATTTCCTGCAGTCATCTCAGGGAACTCCTCCTTCAAACAACTGTCTGGTGAACTCGGATGACCATTAGCAATGACATCAACACAAACATCACCCCCAAACCACCTACGCTAATATCTAAACAGGCGTAGTTCGTCTTCTGATTTGTTCCGCTGTTTAAACGCCGATGTCCATTTACAACTTCATCAGCCAAGAGCATCCTTATCTGAATGTAAGTTTTACCTAGCAACATTGCGTTGCCGGATTTCGTCTTGGTTTTGATCCTGAGCGCCTTTGTATTTACTGTCTCCACCCATTACGACTATAAAGTATGCTTGTGGAACTGTCTGCTTCACAGTGGGTTTTTGACGGTTCCTGAGAACATGTGGAAATTTGTGGCTGTCTTGGTATTTTTGGCTTTCACTGCCTCAGCTGAGCTGAGATGTGAGTATAATGTCTCCTTTGTTCAATATACAGAAGGAAAGGTCAGATGTGGCCCTATATACTATAAGTTGTATTCTTCTCTCGAGGGTAATACAGTCTGAGGTACGCCTCTTTGTAGCAGTGTCACCGGAGCCATGTTAAATGTACAAAATATCATTTTATTTTATGGTAAAGATCGCTACCGACTATATGACATGCAAACAAAATGGCGTCTGCCTCTGGACTGGATTTTTAACATCAGTGAAACATATTCTGACAAGCATAAAACTGCTATAAAAATTGTTAATTATGTTTAAGCTGAATGTGCAAACCACTCAATGTATAAAATAGCGTAAATAAAGCAGTGAAAGTCGGTAAAATAAATCTGTACAAAGTGAACATAAAAACAGCTGATCGAATGGTTTTCGAACTCCAGGCACAGCATGCGTCATATTATGACGTCATACGATTGTCAGGGCTTCAGCTTCTCGGCGGGAGGTTGACGGTTACCGTGACAGCGGGTAATATTTTTCCAGTTGTCACCCTCCTGGGAGGGTGGCACGGAAACTTGTTACATCGTCATTGACCAATGAAATTAAAGTATTTTACATGAAGGTAAGATAAGGTGCTATGTACAATATGACAGGTCGTATGATATGCTATATACAATACGATATGTCGGATACGACACTGTATACAACTTATTTTGCATGTTGCGCAATATACAACATATGTTGTATGTGGCACTACATACGACACCGTATACACCCTGATATTTCGTAGGTCTAACTATGTTACATCCTGGTATGTTGGTTACATGATCATGTTCATGTATTTGTATATGTCATTATGTAACGACCGTTTGTGATGGAAGACTTTGGTTTCATGAAAAAAAAGGAAAAAGAAGTATCCTTTGTCATCTCATCTGTTGGTTTTCGTTGTAATTATTTAATGATAGTCGTTGGTGGTTCTGGTCCTACAGATAACATTCAAACACCGTTGTTTCGAAATTACGTCTGTCTCGAAGTAAAAACTTGCTCTCTGTGAATTCATATTCATATTCATTTTGTCCCCGGTATCTCAATCTACATAATCAAAGGACAATGTGAACGTCTTCAGATATATCTGATTGGTTTGTTGTTCAACGTTGCACTCAGCAATATTCCAGCTATATGGCGTAAATAATCGAATCTGGACCACACAATCCAGTGATCAACAGCATGAACATCAATCTACGCAACTGGGATACGATGACATGTGTCAACCAGCGAGCCTGGCCATCGGATCCCGTTAGACAAGCATGTGTTACTGAAGACCAATTATTCTAACCAGATATATCAGAAATGTTCATCCAAAGTTTATTCTTTTCTTGTCAACATTTTCATGTGAAGTTTTAGAACTATTTAAATTCAGAGATCCGTGCATGGCTAAAATGTGTTCAAAATACGTTTTCATTAAGTGTATGTTATAATATTTGAACACGAATATTACTTTGAAATTTGTTTTTCTCGGAAATTAGGACATTACATTATGTAGGTGATTTAACCGTTAGCTCAAAAGATCTGCCTTTTAAAATCATTCCCGATATACATCCGTTCTGATCATGTGATGTTACAAATATTTGCAAGTGAGAATACAATAAAATGAACAATCTGTCATGGTAGCATTTCCGATCAATTCATCAACAATAATTCGGTTACTTTTGGACATTTCCAGTGGTTCAAAACGGGTCTTTGTCAGATCTCGTTTTAAGGATCGGATGTAAAATGCGTTATTTTACACAATAAATTAATATAAATCACTGTTTATTTACCTCTTTCTTGATCGTTTTAATTTTCTCACTTTGTCTTTCCTTTCAGTGAAACGGCAAGTCCAATGCACAAGTAAGTCTTTTAATTTATTCATACCTTCGAGAGTAAATTTTACAGTGTAGATCTATATCAGGTGGTTTGGATGCTATATGAAGCGTCTCAGCTACAGACGCCTGGAACAATCCTGTGTGATGTTGTGGCGTTGCTGAACTAAAAAGCATTATCCTTACTATCTAAATAGCAAAATTATGATTTCATCACTGGGTGGTTTCCTTTAAACAAATAGCGCCTCTCAAGAATACAAGAGTCTATTTTATAAATTCTTCCGTAAGAAAATTATGTTTTGAAGTTTCATATTTATAAGAAATATACTCCCATTGACTTTTGCTACTGACGTTCCTTCATTATTGAATCGGGCCTTGGCGGGAGAGCGAGTGAGTTTAGTTTTACGCCGCACTCAGCAATATTTCAGCTATACGGCGGCGGTCTATAAATACTCGAGTCTCCACCAGACAATCCACTGATCAACAGCATGAGTGAGTGAGTTAAAATTTAACGTCACCTCGGCATCAACAGCATGAGCATCGATCTAGGCAATTGGGAACCGATTACATGTGTCGACCAAGTCAGCGAGCCTGACCACCCGATCCCGCTAGTCGCCTTTTACGACAAGCATAGGTTACTGAAGATCAATTCTAACCCGGATCTTCACGGGTGGCCTTGGTGGGAGATATCAGTATAGGGCGGTGGGGTGGCCAAGTGGGTAAACTGTTCGCTCGTCACGCTGAAAATCCAATATGTCGTCGCTGAAAAAAGGATAACATAGCGTCTTGTTGTTACAGCTTGTTCAGCTTGACCTGATCAAGTGAATACCAATGCATTGCGTGACCGTGTCACAACTGGTTTGGTCTATTATTGTGACGGGGTGCACCTTTGTCAGTTGATTGTTAACGTGTCCGAACAGCCGAGACAAGGTCGCCGTTTTACATCTCAGTGTCGATAAATCGTCAGCAATGTCCTAACTTTCTTTTTGTTTCCGATTCGGGCTTTTTGGCAGCTAGCACCAGCAACTATCGAGAGTGAATCAGATTGTGAAAGTAACTGAGGTCTGTACGTTGTAAAGTTTGTTAAACAAACATGACGGTATAAACAGTTCAGTTTAAACATGAAATAATTGTTTCTTGAGAAATGTTGTTTTTCGGGACAAGTTCTGTAACGAATCCATGTATGCATGCTTCGCACGAAAGCAACATTAATAACATTCTCTGCTCAACTATACTATCTAAAAAAGGAAACGCATAGGCCAGAAACCTGTTGCGAAAATGTTGTATTTTCAAACATGTATAACTCGTCCACAAATAGACTTTAGTGCATGAATTTTTACATCAGTTTAGAAGAAGGAAATGTCTATACTACCAAGTGGATAAATTTAGATAACGGAGACGTTGAGCGCGATGGTGACGATGTAGCACGGTCCCGACGTCGGGTCTCCTGGCTCTCAGTCCAATCTCTCTCAACCTGTTCCGGGGCGGTGGGGTAGCCTAGTGGTTAAAGCGTTGGCTCGTCACGCCGAGGATCCGGGTTCGATTCCCCACATGGGCACAATGTGTTAAGCCCATTTCCGGTGTCCCCCGCCGTGATATTGCTGGAATATTGCTAAAAGCGGCGTAAAACTAAACTCAGTCAGTCAGTCAGTCAACCTGCTCCGTACAGTTTGACCGGAAATCCTCCGAAGTCCAGGCACCCTGGCTGCTGTGCTCTCATCTCATACAAAACGCCTATGCGTTTCTTTTTTTGGATAGTATATTTAATGAAGTTAACTCGACCTGCCGTTTGTGCCATTTGACCTCCGGGTTCATGCATATGTAGATTAGCTGAGGTCAAGCTGTACAAGTTGTAGAGATGGCTTTTTCAAGTGGATTGAAAAGAAACAGATCATCTGTGATAACAGAGTGAGTGAGTTCGGTTTAACACTGCTTTAAGCAATATTCCATCAATATCACGACGGGGGACACCAGAAACAGGCTTCACTCACTGTATCCATATGAGGAATCGAACCTGGGTCATCGGCGTGACGAGCAAACCGTTTAACCACTAGCTACACCACCGCCCCTCAACTGTGATAAGAACGTATCCCATGGTTACTCGTGGATTCCTATTTAACTGTTTTACTATAAACTCAAAACGTTAATAGCAGTCAAAACACAAAGTATTTACAAATAGTTTCAAATGACAATATTCAAAAATGACTTAAATGTTTAAGCAAAACCTAACATGACCCCAAGACAAGACGGTGAGTACCTCTTTGAAAAAGCCCACTACCAAGGCTCGTATAAACAAAGCCGTCATAGCGCAAAGATGATCGTAACGCCTGAACTATGACGTCAGAATGTAACGGGTTACGCATGCATGCACTGGGCATAAACAACGACCTTCACAGCCAAATATATTTCATTCTTTTCGTTTTCAGACAGCTGGGTTCCACCAAAAAATCCTTGTCTGGGAAACAACAAAAGAATCTATTTCCCACATCCCACCGACAACACCAAGTTCCTCCAATGCGACAATCTGGGTCAGATGTACATCATCCAATGCCCTTCGGGGATGTCGTATAACTCGGCTACCACGTCTTGCCGGTCAGCTGTCGTCCCCCAAGTCACACCTTCCATTCCCACCACCTCGGCCAGGTACTGCACCAAATCCAACTATGCAGCCGGGCTTATCTATTTCGCCATCCCAAACATGCCCACCAAGTTCATTGAATGTGGCCCGAACGGGGGCGCCACAGTTCTCTCATGTCCCTCGATGCTGATATGGAACCAAGCTCGTCGTGCATGCGAATACGCCACCAATGGAGGCGTTGTTGTGACGCTACCTCCAACCGTTGGTCCAGTAACATCAGGAACTGGAATTGGAACCGGAACCGGAATTGGAACCGGAACCGGAACTGGAACCGGAACAGGAACTGGAACTGGAACTGGAGCGAACCCTTGCATGTCCAGCCAGGCTGCAGCTGGGAAGCTGTACTTTCCTCATCCCGATGCCCATAAATTCATCCAGTGTGATAACAATGGCAACGCCTTCATTGGTTCCTGTCCAGGCGGACTTATATGGAATACGGTTCTTGAAACCTGCAACTCACCGTTTGCCTCGATTGGTTGAGAAGTATCTATGTGGGACAGTAAAAATGAATTTACAAAATAACCGTGTCCGGGATCATCTACCGATAACATCTGTCCAATGAGCATCAGATGCAAATAAATGTTACCGTCTCATCAAGGCTTGGTCTTGTGTGTCGCTGTGTGCAATATTGACAAAATATACAAGCCACTCCAACTGGAGTTATGATTATATTATAAGATAGAATAGCATAAAAAGATTTTAGTGTTTAATATTATTTATATAAATATATACTTCGAGCATGTCGAGGTTTTGGCACTAATAAAGATAAATAAAGGTTGGTTAAACATAACTTTTCAACATCAGACAGATTTCTAAAATTGAGTATAATATCATAACATTTGTCTAAAAGAGGCGTCCTGGTGTGATTGTAAAAGGGGCAATGTAATAAGACGTGTGATTCATCCTCATTTTTGTCCTTGCAGTAGAAGCATAATCGGTTTTTTTATGGGCAGGTTTTCATATCTTCCCGTTTCCATCTTTAAAGGGGCAACTCCACATCTTAAAAACCTAAGTGCTCGCCTTTTTGCACGATTCTTATTACATGGCACAAAGTTCACATGAATAAGTCATTTTACAGTCTTACACTCGTAGCATATGGTCAACCTTCTTTCTGTAACTTCTCCTTCCATTCACTTGTACACCTATTCAGCTCACAGTTCTCAATCACGGGGCCGATATGTCGTTTACAATATTTCACAGTAGTGTTTAAAAACTGGGAAAATTCGTATTCTCTAAATTTTCTGTGTAGTCTTTTATTCCAGTTCCACTTATTCTTCCGTGTATAGTTGTCTGCCCATACAAATACAGCTCTGTTGGTCCTGGTTTTCTCCATGTTGACTAAACGTTCCCACTGTTTACCACTGTCTCACGATAGGCGGGGTCACGGCTAGCTGTCCTTGCACTACTGCATTGGACGTGTATCTACCAACTCCGAGGAAGTATCTCATAGCTCTGTGCTGCACTGTGTTCACTGATGAGCGGACTGCTGTGCCCCACATAGCTGCTCCATAATCCAGTGTAGACCAGATCATAGTGTCATACAACTTTCTGAAGGTCTGATGATGTTTGATAAGGCTTTAGACCAAGCGCCCGACTTGCAGATTTTACTGGTGTTTTTGCCATTTTGTCATAGTCTAAATAATCTGTCAAATGAAGGCCGACATAGTTGTAACACGTGTCTCTAATGTTTTATTTCCACAGGCGAATTTAATATACGATTTAGGGATAGACGGGGTCCCAAAATGCACCACATTAGATTTTTCCTCACTTATACTGATATTGATACTGGTACACCACCTATTGAGAATACCCAACACTAATGACAGATCTTCATCTGTTTCCCCTAATAGGACCAGATCATCTGCATAGGCTAGGACACTATAGATACCCCAATATCCAACTTGTTGATTCTGTCGATGAGGTCATTAATAAGAGATTAAAAAGAAGTGGAGAAAAGACACATCCCTGCCTCAGTCCAGTATTTACAGAGACGTAGTCAGTCGTTTTACCATTTATTTTCACACAACTCTTAATGTTCTTATAGATGCATGTGCTGCCTGCAGACACAAGGGGTCATCTCAAAAATATTTTATGATTTTTTTTGTGCGCTGAATATGTCTCATCTATGGATTAACATCTAACTTTACTTTTTTTCATAAAGTTTATGTTGAGATATGTAAAAGAGTATAATACCCATAGAAAACCTTAAATCAGCCATCGTAATAGATGTCTCAAATTATTTACGTTGCATAGCCACCCGAAGAGCCACAGGACTGGATATTATTTGTAAATTGTTGTGACATGCCGTTTACTTCCCCAGTTTAAGCCCCCTAAAGGGTAATCTTATCTTAGATGATATATCTATCCCCTAGCCCGACCCCAACCACCGTCTGCAACACCCGTCCTGGTTTTGCTTTTGAGACGACCCGTGCTACCTGTTTCTTTTTATAGTGACAGTGAGACTCCAGGACTATATCCTTAATAGTTTCAGTATCAAATATCTGTTATATGGAACAAGTTTTTATGGATAACAACTTCTTTATCAAGAGTGACTCTTGCTTGACAACGGTACAAGAATCTGTATCGAAACGTCGCACTCACGAAATAAAGAAGTTGTTATCCATAAAAACTTGTTCCATATTGTACGTCTCAACTTCTAAAATGCCACTCAAACAAATATCTATTATTAGAAGAATTAACAGAATTGAAATATAATCATTTGATCCAGGAATTCTGTAAGTTTCAAATATCCCACAACAACTTCAAAGTCAACAAATATAGGAATACCAAGGAAACACCAATAACATAAGGTTACTGTCCAAACTGTGAAGCTAGGGAAATTGAAAATCAAAACCATGGTTTTTTCATGTCAGAAATATCAGCATATATACGAGATGAATACTTCTCACAGCTACGAAATATTTATGATGGACAACTAACTATTCCAGCTAATTTCAAGTAAAAAAACTGCTTTGTCCCTTCACAATATCTTCAAACTCGGAGCACCCTTTGTACACCGATATTGACCACTGTTAATTTATTGTAATGAATTGTAAACTGGATTATAGGCCACTAGGCCCGCATTACAAATATAACTGTCTGTCTGTTTCTTTTTACATTGATAGTGACACTCCATGGTAGCTACATCCATTATAGTTTCAGTATGAAAGTATTATTTTTTACGTCAGCTGTCGTTTAAAGTGAGTGAGTGAGTGAGTATTTTTTTTAAGCGACTTTGAGCAATATTCCAGCATGATCACGGCGGGGTACACCAGGAATGGGCTTCACACATTGTGCCCATGTGGGGAATCGAACCCGGGTCTTCTGCGCTGTCGTTTATAACGAAGGTTAGTCTAATTTCAAAATGGGCATTTAAAAAGTGTCCTTTGTAATACAATGATACAAAGCCATGGTCTGTTACAAATAAGTCGCTTTGGACTTTGGACCCGCATTGCTCATTTCTGCACTAATCTCTCCTCAGTAAAGTCCTTTTTAACGTTTCCTATCTCCCTAAAACTCTAAAACTGAGACTGTAGTAAGGCCGATATTTCACACTATTAACTACATAAATTGAAAATTTAAATGTGAAAAAAACATTGTTTTCTATTTCCGACAGTTCTTTAGTGATTATATTTTCACAGTTTCAGCGGAAACGCTCGTAGCCGTTTTATCAATTTGTAAAAGAAAATTAACCGGAATGGTTTAGTCTGGGTTGTATTGTTGTTTACCAAACACTCAAACAAACCTTAGTATCGAAGTCTTTGTTTCATATTCTATTTCCTCTATTCGACTCGACTAGCTATCTTCAGGCTGCCGACTACCCGTGAAGGTCCGGGTTAGAATGAACCTTCAGTAACCAATGCTTGTCGTAAGAGGCGACTAACGGGATCGGGTGGTCAGGCTTGCTGACTTGGTTGACACATGTCATCGGTTCCCAAATGCGCAGATCGATGCTCATGATGTTGATCACTGGATTGTCTGGTCCAGATTCGATCATTACAGACCTCCGCCATATAGCTGGAATATTGCTGAGCGCGGCCTAAAACTAAACTCACTCACTCAGGCTGCCGACATTCACTGTGTCCCCTAACGTTTGAGGTGTTCTATGATTAAAACAGACAAGGATTTGTTGAACCAGGATGTATGTAATAAGGGTAACATAGTTGGACCTCCGTGTGTTGCTGTGGTTTGCTCTACCATATAAATTACTTTCAACTGTCAAGATGGAATTTCCTCAGCTGTCATCCTCATCACAGAGGTGAATCAAATACGTTTAATCGATATTTGAAAACATTAATTGAGATATTAAATCTTTAGAGTCTTCTAACCATGTCCACAACGATATGATTGTCTGTGTATGTTTAATGCAGTTTTTTTCACTGAATCTGGAAACAAAAGCTCGGTGTAAGGAGGTTTTCCCCGTATCTTCATCTATACCTCTTGTTTAATTAGGGTTTCACTGTATCTAGAGACACACCTCCGGTTAAGGAGTGGTTCACTGTATCTGGAAACATACATCCGGTGTAAGGAGGGTTTCGCTGTATCTGGATCCATACCTCCGGTTTAAGAAAGGTTTTGCTGTATCTGGAAACATAAATCCGGTTTAAGGAGGGTTTCACTGTATCAAGAAACATACATCCGGTTTAAGGAGGGTTTCGCAGTATCTGGATCTAAAACCTCCGGTTTAAGAAGGATTTCACTGTAACTGAAAACATACATCCGGTTTAAGAAAGGTTTCGCTGTACCTGAAAACATACATCTTGTTTACGGAGGGCTTTGCTGTATCTGAAACATAGGAGAAGAAGAAGAAGAAGAAGAAGAAGAAGTTTATTCAGTATTTGAGGCCACATGGCCAAGAGTACAAACATATAAGAACAATATTGTGCGGATGGACAGACAAAAACAATGTAATTAGTTCACTTTCATACAGGCAAGTTACGCTTTAGAAATAATGCTATTGACTTCAATAGATGTGCATTTGTTGTTGTTAAAAGTTGTTTAAATTTTAATCTTGATGGGAACGTATGGTAATAACTAGGTAAGTACAGTTTTCTTTGTACAGAATAGAATGGACACACAAGTAAAAAATGAAATTCATCCTGTGTAACATTAAAATCACATTTGTCACATATCAATACATTGAAATTTATATTATTATTATAACGTTGTTGTTGAACATTTAACTTATGGCTTAAACAGCGGAATTTGCATAAAATGCGTATACATACCTCCTTATTTAAAAGGTGTTTTCAATGCATCGGAAACAGCAAAGGTTTCCGAAGTGATGCAAACCACAGGGATTTGCCCCTTTGTTTCAATTGCAATACACAGGTGTGTTAAAGCTTAGTCTCTGAAAAGAAGTAATTTTGACACAAACAAATTATCTCCATTTAAATTGAAAATGAGCCCCGGTGAGCTCGTTGATTCAGAGCCAGAGGAAATCTAGCCCTGCTTCATTTTGCATTTATGCATTTCACAAA